AAATATATGTGTACTCTGTTCATTCTCCAGAACTGATCTGTTATTTGTAGAAATATATTGTACCGATTGTGTACAAATATCGGTTACTAGCCTCTGGGGTTGCATGGGAAAGGATTTACAAGTCACAAATCACAGGTTGGGGATCACTGCAGAATATTTAAAGTTGATTTACCCGCATTTAAGACCCAAACAATTACTATTATTCCAGTTAAAATATCAGCCAGTTAAATTCGCATCACTCAAAGCATATATATACTGTTTCGTTATAGTTTAAGAAATTATGTGACATAGAAAAAAATAAGAACAAAATATTAACTTTTAAATCAGCTGTCCACGTTGAACATCGATCACACAATAGTAATTTAATTAATTAGATTCTCTTTCAGTAAAATTCTCATTCGACAAGAGAAAAAAAATCACAACGTACATAATTGTTACAACTCAGAGATGAAAGTTCCGAAAATGCGCATTTTCTATTCTTTTGCGCATTTAGCGATGAGCGTTCCTCATATATGCTGACAATTTTAATACCTACAAAGTTTACGCGAGTGGTCAAATACCGTTCTTGTTCATGAACCGTAAGTGTAGGTGAGGGAAACTTGAATATCAATGATGGAGAAGAAAGCGCGTAGTTCCTGTAAACAGAAGGAAAAAGCCATTATCTTATCCTCGCAGCGAGGGAACACAAAGGGAAGGTCAGCTCACGTACGTAGGCCTAAAACGAGGGATAAAGCGAGCACACAGCCAGTCTGGCGAGCCGCCAAAACACAAGAGGGAAAATTATCTCAAAACAAACAGGATATGACCCTAAAATAACAGAGAAAAATTACAATTTTACTTTACAGGGGAGAAACACAAAGCGAATCACCACAGAAACGCGTCATTTTTGTTTATATAATTAAATTTTTGTTACTTTCCCCAAATGCGTCACGCACAGATTGAGTGCCTTACAAATCTATTGTCAGCTCTGCATTTTAGTAGACATTCGGTTTAACGATTTTTATGCTATGCACATAAGTACGATTTATCCTAAGCACATAAACACGATAATTAACTAAGGATAGCGAACATTATACCGTTTGTAAGCTGCAACTATAAATCAGAAGTACATCATGCACCGGTACTAGGGTTACACTACAATTGCGGCAGAAGTCAAATACAAGCTACAGCGATACGTTAAACCATTAATTATTTGTGGATCAACAGAAATACCTACCGAGTCCGGAAATACTTTGAATCAGAAATTTTGTTCTTGTTATGGAATCACAGAACATTACAAAACGAGGGAAGGTTTGATTTAAAAAATCCACACTTCTAATTCAGCATAATTTAATTTTTTTTCGGAAAAATGTAAAATTTGTTCTCTTTTAAATTCCCCTAGCACGAATTCAGTGTTATTTTACTCTTTTATATATAAATGTTAGCGTGAACGACTGTTACGTAAATGATTATCCATTCGTTGATGAATAATGTAATTCTCAAGTATCTGGGTTATTTATTCCAGGCAACATAGTGGTAATCTGATAGTAGACTAATATTTTCTCGGTGTTAATTATGATGACCTAAAGTCCTAAACCAAACTGATTGGAGCGAAACTTCAATCACCGCTAGTCTACTGTGCAGAATTTTGCAACGCAAACAAAGAATCGGAGACGTGTTAGGTTCAAGAAACAATGTCGTAAAGCACACACGTCTCAGTGGTCGTCAATTACGACAGGAAGACAGAGGGCGTAGCCGTTGTATGCTAATGGTAAATTAGCGACGGGGTTCACGCGCGCGGCTCCCTCTGCTGTAATACCTTACAACTGCATTCACGCAAAAACTATGGACGCAAGTTTACGACACAACTTCAGATTGATTAACAAAAGTTTAATACAGAATGGTCAAAATTGTATTCTAGTGAATATTAAAATGTATTTATATGGTAAAGCTGGTATCCGTATGTAGTGCGATTATGGAACTGCTGGCACCGAGAGACTATCTATCTTTCTATTGTTTATATACACCATTACGTCTGTGCGATCCCTCTCCATATGAAACACTATCATCACCCACTGTAAATAAACTATATGTTCGACAATTCTCTGACTTGAAACAAATTGAAATCCTTGAGTGACAATAAAAGTGTAAAGTGAAGAGGTTTATAGATTTCGTTTTGTCAAAGGCGGTTTAATGCCATTTCAATTTTATCAAGACTACATCATTAAGAAGCATGAAAGCACAAAACTATGGCATCAGCAAATAATGATAGTTTATAATGATAGTAAAAACAATTAATGATAGTTGTACGCATTTGAAATTCTAGAATTAGGACTCTAGGAGATAACCCATGGTTTTTGATGACTGTTTTATTTGCCATTTGATGTACATATACTTTAGTGAACAGGTAAAATTAATCTAGGGCTTCAATTCCCAAGGATTCAAGGAATATTTTAAAAAGTATTATTTAAAAACGATTAAAACAATAATATACAACATAAATAATTTTATATTCAAGATGTTACAGTTTATGCTCCCTAATTTAAATGTATATACCACTTGAACAACACCCTGCAGACCATTACGAATAGTATTTCACATGGATGCCACTTAACAGTCATGGTTGTTTGATTGACTTACAAAGGACACCAATAAATTAAGGCATGAAGGCCTTAATTAAAAGTCTGGTAAAAGTCTAAGGATAACATAAAATCCAGTCTTCATATTAGGCCCAGAGTTGTTGAAATTATTAACTACCTTTGGCCAAATTAAAAACCAGAATTTTTGTCATTCTAATGATTCTATGTAGCCAGCTAGATTTACAGGCCTTTTATCATATTCAATGACAGATATACATATATACTATATACAACTTTTTGAACACATTTAAATGCTTATCTTATTAAGGTATTTCAGTCTTAGATACCAAGCCCCAGCTGCAAACTATAAAGATCAAAAGAATAGCCAGGATTCTCTGATACAACACAAGCATTTAAAGAATCAATATTCTATAAATTTTTGGCCCAGCTTGTGAGAAAAATCTGACAAATTATGCCACGGTTTAAACCTTCATAGAAGTTAGAACCCAATTTTCAACAGGTTAGGACTGGAATCCAGTATTAACAGTGAACTTTGATGCTTGTAATAGATATCAACATAAGAAAATGATGGAATAAAATACTGAAGCTTACAGTATTAATTATTATTAGTATTATACAGGATTGGAATACAGTGACTCTGGTGCAACAGCCTTCTTGTGGTGGAGCTGACTGGGTCGTCTACTGACGCCCCAGCAAACAGTTGCAGAACCCATCCCTGCCCCGTCCTGCCGTGCAGGGTTTTCTACACCGGAGCGGTCTCTCCGGGCCAGCCTGCTCTGGATCCTTCTTTTAATGGCCGGAATAAATCCCAACCCTGGGCCACAAATCTGGATAGCTGCCATCGAATCGTACTTACGCTCTATTTTCTTGTCTATGATTGATGGATTATGCATGAAAGGCTATCAATGATTTGCTGATGAACTTACAATCTCTTAACATTTTTTTGAAAGTATGGGCCCTGAACAGCTACAAAAGCAGAATCCATAATAACACCAATAACCTGTGCAACTACTGCCACCTCTCCCTGGATGATGTGCCCCACCTCTTTGACTGCCCTAACAACCTAACACCCCTCAGCACCAGAGACATTAGGAGGGACCCAGCTGTGGTCGTGCGTTGGCTCCAGCCACGGCTGGACCAGTAAAACTGGGATCGGGCGCAAGGCAAGAACAAAAGCAACATTGGAATACAGTATTAACAGTGAACTTTGATGCTTGTATTAGACAACATTAGAAAATGACAGACTAAAATACTGTAGATCTAAAACCACATACTTTCAATAAAATACAAAATCTTGTGGCTTAAGCATGCACTTTTGTGAACAATTATACAAGAGATAATCTACCAAGCAAGAATCTGAATATTTCAATAATAGCGCAAAAGCTCTAATCACAACTCAACAAGTAGATATAATTCACACCCCACAGCTTCCGTAGGTGTAGGCTGTAGGGTCACAGTGACACAGTCCACCAGGGTGCAGAAAGTGAGTCAATTTTTGAAGGTTTTTGGCAACACATCAGCATCAAAATCAGTCTTCAAAAAATATCACCAACATATTTTTCTTTAAATACCTCTTCTAGGCTCTTCATGAGTATTTTTGGCAAGAAATCATACAGGTTTAAGTAAGAAATCATGAAGGTTTAAGTAGTGCCAAAAAACCTAATCTTGGCAATCAATTTCTGAAAAATAATGCCAACATTCCAAATTGGTCAGAAAGCAGCTATATTCTGAGTCTAAGGACCATTAATTATTCAAGTTTATTTTAGATTATTTATTTATTTTATATTTGTTTGTTGGCTTATTTATCTAGGAACTTCTTGCACTACAGTAACTGAGTAAGACTTAATTTCTGCATAAGATTTGAGATTTATGAAAATGGATAACTTTAATATTGTGTTATTCAAGTAAAACATAAGATTTTAGGTACAGTCCACATAAATTAGGCTATAATGATTTTAAAAATCTTATGTTCAAATTCACTCTATATAATTAGTATTAAAGTGGTACATGAAACACAAGTAAAGCAATTATTTTTGGCATAAAATGTTATTAATGATTGATGAAGTATTCATCCAGTAGGTAGCTCCAAAAATGTTAGCAAAGTTCCCAATTTTCCAATTGTGGCATGAGACGTAAACTGATATTTTCAAACGTCACATTGGCTAGTTTTACAGGGGGAGCTTGACACATTCGCTTACAGAGCTTCATTGATGGTCATTGGTCAATGCCCAATGGATTGTTGTCATTGTGAGGAATGAGGATAGGCTACCTCATTAGGCTCATTAACCTCAATATTACCTGAATGAGGAATAATTGAGGATACATAAAATGTAGGTTGATATAAGTGTTAAACATTCCTCGCCTTCAACAATTTCGAACATTTGACTCACAGCAAAAAGCCGACACGATATTTCTTCCTACCTCTTCCAAATCGTGGACAGTCTGTCTGCATTGTCCCATCTTGTTGACGAAATTGCTTGTTGGAGGAGAGTCAATATCTTCCTTCACCTCCCGCATGTATTCCTCAACAGAAATACAGGCCGGCATCTTGAAGATCTAAAACACTTAACCTCAGCAATAAAAAAAAATCAGCGTAAAATACTTTTCTTCAAAACACGAACAACATAATGCATATCGGAAACTGTGCACATCACCTACTAGCGTCACAGTGCAAGAGATACTGAGGCGTGCATGTACTATTTAGCGAAGACTTTAAAAATTGACGAAGACTTTGTCAACAACAACATATGGGGGCAAGTTTTAGCAGCGACCTCTGTATTCAAGTTTTGAAACCCTTGTTGGGTTGAATGTAATTACAACTGGCATATTGGTTCACAGAAATATTTAAGAAATAAACTGAGTTTTATGTATTTGCAGCGTTCTGTGGTTATGATTAAAAAGGTTTTAACCTGGATTTTTAAAATTGTTATCTCAAGTCTCCTTAGAAATTATAATTTCACTCAAATCCATTTTGCCACTTCTAACCTCGCAGCCAATATTGATTTTCAAGAATCAGAGAAAATTACTAGGTAAATTTATCTCACTTGAATAAAAAAACTGCTAAGAAATGATAATTTACTCACTTAACTTGCTAGAGTAACTTCGGCTTTCAGAAATTCCAAGCGTCAACTAATAAAATATTAGTTCAAGCACGTGTATAATCACAATGATTTATTGATTATAGTGAACAACGGCGATTCTCATTTTTATGGAGTAATAAGTGAAAAAACCCAACATATTATATGCGTTGTTTAATAATTTAACTCCTTATCAAATTCAGCACGAGGATTGAAAGGCACCAAAATTTGTCACTTTACTTGAAATTTCCTTAGGCTATTTAATATACGTCCAATACAAAAACGAATAATATGTAAAAGATTCATTGTAAAATAGGACAAGTAAAATTTAACCCTTTTATACAAATCTAATACAGGTAAAAAATCTTATATGGAGGACTATAATGATGAAACTTTCAGCTGGTAATTAAAACTTCCTATATCAAGCAGCACCGCGTATTGTCTAAGGAGACGCCGACAATAAGAGACCGGCCCTTGTTACAAACACTACAAAGGTAAAATGATTCACGAAACACAAGTGTAATACTTTGTCAAATAAACATGTAAAACGTCTGCTAAAACTATATTGACTCTCGTAATAAGGTTGTCGAAATTCGTGAAATGCACCATGAAAATGCCCAGATACTATCTACTTGTAACTCCGTATGTTCACGTGTCTGTGTTTTCACTCTGATCTCTGTATCTTCACTCTGTATCGCCGTATCTTCACTTTGTATCGCCGTATCTTCATTCTGTATCGCCGTATCTTCACGGTGCATCTCTTGTAACTTTACTCTGCATCTTCGTATCTTTACTCGGGGGTCGCCTGCCGAAGACCACCACTGCCCTGGATGTAATGGACCATCATGATTCCTGCCTTCCGGAACGTAGCCTTCAACACTTCAAGCCGTCCGTATCTAGGCCGTGGGTCGAACCAGCCCTCGGTCGAACGACCACTTGTCGAAGGACGATAAATTTTGGAACAGAACTATGCTATCTGAAACCTAACCTCAGATGCGGTGAATTTAAAATTACGTAATTTAACGATGCCCGGAAGTCAGATTCGATCCACGGCCTGGTGGTGCACGGCAGGTGGTGGTCAAGGCCGGAAGAGAACAAAGCCGAGTGGTGCAGGTCTGGAGAAATCCAAGGCGTTCGATTCAGGGCTTATTGGTGCACAAAATTGGTGGTGCACGGCTGCGCTCTCTTTACTCGGTACATCTTGCGCGGCAAGTTCGTAACGACACTACAAGCTATCTTGCTAATTTTTTTCAGAAATTTCCACCTAGATAAACTTTCTCGTACGAAATTCATGTCCCACTATCGATCAGTGATTTTCTGCGGACAATTTTCAGCTTAGGCTTCTTGCCAATAACGATTTTAATCTTCTTGCGTATTTTGACTGTAGCTTCGTCACTTTGATCCACTTTTTCCACTGAAACAGAAACGTCGTTCAGCGGTCGTAATGCAGACGAAGGCTCCATTGAGTCACCACGATCAGTTGGTCCCCCAATCCCGGCGTCAATGGCAAATAATTTTTCTTTACTTGATTTCTTCTTTTTGACCTTCTCCTTCAGGTTCTTGACAGCCAAGAGTTCTGGAGGCTCTTTTGCTCTGATATCAAGGAAGAGAGTGTCGCCAGTCTCGATTTCCGGGCATAGTTGACCGTCATCGTCTTTCCGTGCCGAATTGATGGCTTCCTCCGAGAATTTGTGGCTGATTTTCTTGTTTTTCTGCTGCTGGCTTCGCTTGCTTCGATAACCAGAGTCACTGGATGAACTTTCATTGCCAGGATGTGAAGCACAACCCGAGGATTCAATTAGTCTGTTTATTCTCCTGTTTGCAATCGCATTGGGATCAACATAGTCAAGGTTTAGAAGATTCCCTGTCGAATAGTACACGGGAATGTCGATTTTATTCGCAATAAAATCAGATTTAAAATAAGCTGGCGCTTTATACGTCTCTACTTTATCATGTAAAACACTCGGTAACCAAGAATTAGTTGGTTCAATTTCCGAATCAATTTTCACATGGAGAGTTGAATTCGAATAATTTTCTGGGTGTCCATTATCATGAGTGGCAAACTGGCTTCGGAAATTTGATCTTGGCTTCACATCAAGTCTTGATTGCGAAGTGTAAGTAGACAGGGGAAGAACCGGTGGAGAATGCAGTCGTGTAACATGTGAGGTCGAGGAAGGGTGGAGATTCGTCAAAGATCGGTGCAGAGCACGACGTGGCGACTTGGTCGTTGAAACGAGGGTTCGTCTGGATGGATGGTAGACCGATTTTTGTAGGTCGGAAAACAAATTTTTGCCCACTACTGGGCCGAGCGTTTCAGCGTCACCACACATTCTGTTAAATTAAACAGGAGGTAAAATGGATCCAGTGCTTGAAATTGCCATAGCAATTGGCATGCGTAAAGATAAAACCTTAAAGATTCTTAAATTTATTTCTTCTGAAAACAATAACATGCATCAATCGAAACGTTTCATTTGTAGCCATGTGTACAACAGGTTATTTCATCTTTAAAAATACGAAGTTATGAAAAATGTAAACGGAATAAGAGAAGCAGCGATAACAATACAATCTGGAAAGAACACAAACGAATAAATGAAGAAGAAACAGAGTGGCTAAAATGAAAGGGAAACAGAGACGCGAAAATGAAAGGGAAACAGAGAAGAAAAATAAAGATAAATTGACGAGAAGCTGAAAATGCCGTGGTAAGAAAATAGACCAGAAACAAACGATGAAATGATCGACAAACAGAACAGGAAATGATGGTCAAACAGGCGAGGAAATGAAGAAGGAACCGAGACGTGAAATGAAGTTGTAAGTTGCACACGAAATAGAAGAAGAAACAAATATAAGTTAATGAATACGACGGCGAGAGTAGGATATGCAGAAGAGATCAAGATGAGAAGATGAAGGTGAAACGGAAAACGGAAAATAGACTCAGGAAACTAGCATAGAAAATAAGTGAAGTGACAAACTCGAGGAAAACAGAAGTGATTCAAGAGAAATAAAAACAAAAAAAATACAGAGACGAAATAAGTAGTTACTGAGACAAAATAAGCAGTTACAGAGACGAAAAAAACAATTGCAGAGACGAAATAAGCAGTTACAGAGACGAAATAAGCAATTGCAGAGACGAAATAAGCAGTTGCAGAGACGAAATAAGCAGTTACAGAGACAAAATAAGTAGTTACAGAGACGAAATAAGTAGTTACAGAGACGAAATAAGCAGTTACAGAGATGAAATAAGCAGTTACAGAGACGAAATAAGTAGTTACAGAGACGCATCGCATATCCTGATCACATAGCGAGCCAAAGTCTCACTCACGTACAAAGACGAAAAAATGAAGTTACAAATAAGAAAAAGAAGTTAAAGAGACAAAAAAATAGAGTTAAAAAAAAAGAATTTACAAAGATAACGGAATTTACAAAATCGAAAAAGGATGTCACTCGGAACAGAAATCAACACGACGGAAATAACTCAATACGCAAAAAAAAACAATAATTACAAAATCGAGTAAAGAAAACATTAAAGACTCAAAAAAAAATTTCTGGTAGAAAGAACATATTTCTATGCCCAGAACGCGTGAATTTCTTGTAAATGCAACTGACCTGAGGGAGCTGCTGCGCGGAGATGACAGGATCTTGTTAACAACTCCGCTGCAGCGCGGACTGTCGTGGCAGGAGTCGAAGTCCCAAAACCGGACGTTCTCATCTAGCAACATTAACAAAAGAAAAAACATACCTTAAGGCCTTAAATGTTAACAAATGGCGTTCCATAAAATGTTACACGTGGTATATATGCTGGTTAATGTTAGAGTAAACGACCTCCAACGCCACATAATTCCGAGGCACAGACGGATCCTCATGAGAAAACGAGCGAGCTTGAACAATCAGATAACGGCTGCCTCCGGGAATATGGAGAGACAGAGGCTGGAACATCTAAAGGTTAAAATTAAGGAAACTGAGCGACAGTTGCAGGACTCACACGAGGCCGAACAACAAATTGCAGAGGCGCAAGCGGTGTATGCCATTCGAGAGAATCCCAAATATTTCTACAAATATGCCCGGTCAAAGGTCAAAATCAGAGCCTCAGTTGGGCCTCTGAAAAATAACAATGTCCTTGTTGGAGACGACCAGGGCATGTGCGAACTTCTGGGAGCACAATTTTAAAAAGTATTCAGCGAACCCCGATACTCGAGACAGGAGAACGAAATTGGAGTCATTCAAGAACGTCCAATGGGGCGGGAGCTGATGAACATTGAGTTTGAAACGCCGAATCTAGAGAGTATCCAAGAATTATCTACGTATTCGGCTCCCGGGCCAGATGGGGTCCCTGCAGTATTACTGAAAAAATGTGTCGGTGCACTAAAGGTCCCTCTGACTTTGCTCTGATCTTCAGAAAATTAAGACTGCTGGGAGTCGGAGGTGAATTGCTGGCATGGATCCACAGCTTCCTAACAGAAAGACTACAAGCTGTCGTTGTTGGAGGCTTGAGATCGAGCGAGGCTAGGGTGAAGAGTGGAGTACCACAGGGAACGGTACTCGGCCCAATCCTCTTCCTCATTCACATCGCCGACATAGATGGGGCTGTGAACCACGCCACTGCATCGTCATTCGCGGACGACACCAGGATAATAATGACCATAACGGACAGGAGGGACTGCGAGAGGTTGCAAGAAGATCTCTCTGCAATATATGACTGGGCCCAAGTGAACAACATGCAGTTCAACGAGACCAAGTTTGAGGTTCTGAGATACAGAAGTAGCGGAAGAGCTGGTATGGAGCACCGCTACCTAGCACCTGACAATTAACTCGGAAATCGAAGAGAAGCGACTTGTTCGTGATCTAGGAGTGTTGATGAATACTCAGGCCAATTTTGGGGATCACGTAACGGCAATAACCGCAAGAGGTAGGCGACAGATGGGGTGGATCTGGCGGACGTTCAGAACAAGAGAAGCGGAACCGATGATCACCCTCTTTAGAGCCCATGAAATACCAATCTTGAATGCTGCTGCCAGCTCTGGACCCCGTTCACACTCGGCGCAGTGCGGCAACTGGAAGGTGTCCAGCGAACCTTCACTTCCAGGATCAGAGGGATGGAAGAGTTGAACTACTGGGAGAGGTTGAGGCGCCTGGGTCTGTACTAACTGCAGAAGAGACGGGAGAGGTATGTCATTCTGTACACATGGAAAATGATAAGCGGAATGGTGCCAAACTTTGAGAGCGAGACCTTCAGAATTTTCAGGATTGAGACGTATCACAACGAGAGAAGAGGGAGACTGTGCAACACTACTTAACAGATCCGCAGTCAGATTTCAATCCCTGCGGGAAGGATCACTTTCCGTGGCAGGGCCAAGGCTGTTTAACGTCCTAACAAAGGATCTAAGAGAGGGGGAGTTCACCCTGGAGACCTCCAAGAGACAATGGGACGTGTTCCTGGGCACAATCCCAGATCGACCTCACCTGCAACACTACCAGCGGCGAGAAGCAAGCAACAGCATCGTGCATCAGGTGGCCCAAATGAGGGCGGATGAACGATAATCAGAGGCGGCGATCCATCGTAGCCTGGGACTGCTACCAAGATTACCAAATAATTCTACAAGTATTGGTACAAGGGAAACAATTAAGTACCAATATTATCAAGTAATTCTACAAGTATTGCCTGAGCCGAAAATAAGTGACTTAAAATGGTTTCCAGGTGTCAGAAATGCCTTCAAGGGAAATTATCAGCTGACGTGTCGCCATTGGATTCCAAAGCGAACAGAATATAGAAGTATAATGAATTATTTTATAAAAATAATCACAGGAAGAAGTAAAAAATAAAATCAATTCATCACAGACAACGAAACAATCCATACAAAAACTAATATTGATTAAAATATTAATCTCAAGAGCGATGCAAGCTAATTACTTCAAACTTGCAAATCTGGAGATATGGTTCAATGACCACGTATAACGATGTTCCTTAACAGTTCCCACCACATAATTTTAAAATTTGCATCCCATACCCTAGACTCAATTACACGCACTTCCTCCTGATGGCATCATGCACCCAAGTCTCACTCACTCGACACTCACACACTAACTCGACACACACTCACTCGACACTCACACACTCACCCTCCTGATCGCATCACGCGCCCATGTCTCACTCACTCGACACTCACCCTCCTGGTCGCTGACGGCGAGCCTGGCGTTCATCTCACTCATTCTCTCCATGTAGGTCTTGGCTTGCGTGGCTCTGCTGAACTCTGTGCCTCCAGTGGCTCCCATGTTCTGCTTGTAAACATGATTATAAATGACATCTTTTCGGGGTGATTTACTTATTTTTGTCACTGGAAGAAATGTGGTTACTTTTACTTATTTGTAGGATCAAGCATAAAAAACAAAAATTTAACATTCAATTATCTAAGAATTAAAGAAGGTTTAGCATGCATTTTTGGGAATTAATGAAGCAGGTTATGATTGGGACAGTACTACAACATCAAATATCAACAACATACGTGAAAGTATTTCTAAATATTATCGTGAAATAACAATTGATATTTTTTATATGTTGATTTCTTGGTAACGTAATTGACATAAGCCTGTGATCATGGAAAGGTGAAGCGTATACTCTGGTCTTCCGTAAACTTTACGCTTACGCATTCACGCGCAAATTTTGCATGAAATTCTGATTTAAAATCATATTCACGCCAATTACTGATAATTTTAAAATTTTTTAGTTGACCATATCTTCCCTAATTGCTGTCATTATGAAAATCTCCGCTCCACATAGGGAGTGGTATCGCTCACTCTCAGGATATATGGCCTCATCTGAGCATTCCGTTCGACTGGCCATTAGGCCTGGATGTAAAATGTAAAATCACATTACCAAGAAATTCAGCGGGTAAAATAAGTAAGGGAATATTTAAACACCTTATACTCATGCAAAATGGACAACCACTTTTTTCTATTAGTTGAGAACACTTACCTGATGAAGCGAAGTAAAATTACGACCGCAGAATGCATACAAGAACTTATACCTTACATATTTTTACTTCCACGGAGTATTGGATTGTAAATGTCGGGCAGTATTGAACAGTCAAACTAGACATGTTGGAGAATCCAAAGGCCGAGAGAACGTAAATATTACGTATAATGGCAGACAAAATATAACGATGTTATACGTCCAAAGTGAAGGTTGATGCATAGATAATTGCAGGAGGATATGTACAGTGGATCACTGAAGGATTACACGAGGACGCGTGCCACGGTCAGTGAAGGATTACAAGAAGATGCGTGTCATAATTCAGTGAGGGATTAAAAAGTGACTAATACGCATAGACTAAGAAGAACAACATCTATATATTTAATACTTTCAGGATCACCTCGTGAGTACCATAAAATATCCAATATATCACAGTGATAACAGTCATCGCCATTTATTATTGAAGAGACAAATATGGGTCAATAAATGAGGTCAATTAATAGATCAATAAGCAGGCAGCTGATAAATTGCATTTGATTCCAAACCTAAATAGTTACATTTCAATTTGCTTATAATGACTTGTGCCGTCATGAAGGGAAGTTCATGCAAAATGAATGCGGCGAATAATGAATTTATAATCATCATGTAGTATGTTTTCTTTGTGGTATGTCACTAATTGAAAAAGATAACATTTAAGGCAGCTATTCAGTTTTGAAGGAAACAGACCTCTGGCGAGAAGGGCAAGTCAGTCGGCTGGATCAGCGCCGGAGTCACAGCCGTTCTACGTGACAAGCTTGGACTCTGGTTTATGATTAAAGTTGGTGACTCAAGACCACGATGAGTTGGTGACTCAAGACCACGATGATTTGGTGACTCAAGACCACGATGATTTGGTGACTCAAGACCACGATGATTTGGTGACTCAAGACCACGATGAATCCGCACAGCAGAAGAATCCTTGAATTGGGAGGGAGAAGCAGCGTTTGCTGAACTGATTCTGGGGGAGGATGTTTCGTCTCTGAGAGAACCGTCCGTTTTTGGTGGGAGATTTCGAGATGAGGCTGGTCGAGATTTCTTGCCGGTCTTGCCTTTCCTTACCCTGAGCGAATTTGATCTTGGTTTGACCAGAGCATCACTGACGCATTCTTCGCTGAGCAATTCCCGAGACAGGAAATTCCTCTGATCTACAGAAGACTGGTGGTCTGGGAGGTCCAATGAACCTGTCGAGCGGCGGTTCAAAGATCGACGAACTAAAGTCAATGTTGTTGGATCGTAGATGTATGTTTTAGGGACGTCAGATGAAGACGAATACGAGAGATGATGGCCCAGACTAGTACCGATACCAGCGTCATCGTACTGACCTGGAGATAAGCACTGTTTGTCCTGAAATAGGGTATAAATTATGAGAAGAACTTTAAAAAATTCAACAAAAAATATACAAATAAAATCATGTTTTTCATGCAAAACGAAATTTCAAGCTAACAACTTTATTTATAGCATCTGTATTTTCTATTAAAAATGTTCAAAGTACCTAAAATGTATATTAGATGTAGATTTGTTAAATAGATGTAAGAATAAATGAAAAATTCGAATTTGGATTTATAAAAAGCATGGGTCCTAGAGAAAGCGAAACACAGCAACACATTTTAACCACAACAGACAACACCTGCGCTCACGACAAAAATGCTGTCACTATCACATGCATCGTTCTCTTATAGTAGTTAGAAAGGGATTTATATGAAAGTTATCATAGCGAAAAGTTTAGCATGTAAGGGCTTTATAGAAAAAGGGTTTAGAACCAAAAGAAGGGTTTAAAACCATGACCTATCTTTTGCTATTGGTATCTACGCAACGAACCTCGAATTTCATAGTTTAAACTTTAAAGAACCATTGCAATTCTCTATATTATTCGTCCCATTAGGAAAATTAGTCGCAATTGCTAAAATTATAAGGAAATCCGACAAAGAAAATTAATTCAAACAATAAATTTTAAAAAATATTTCAATGAATTTTTATCGGGATAGATGTATACAATGCAAGAACAAAGGCAAGTGGATGCAAAAAAAGTTTTCCCAGTAAATTTTGAGATTTTTGTTGTATGCTTAATTTAACTTTAATTTATTGAAATATTTTCAATTATCGTGCTGCCCAGTCGACTTTTACCAATATAACCAAAGAAAGCTAATATTACGATATTAATCCACGATATGAAATTGTCTTAAACGTCTTAATGATGTTAAGAAGTGTCAGGGAAGCATATATCTTCGCTGCTGGCACCGATTTTTTCTGAGTTATTGGTTAGATATTGAAAGATTATCTCACCTGTGATGTAGAAATTAGCCTCATAAAGAAACCAATTATATAACCTCTCTTTACCCGCTAAAAATATTATGCGGGCTAAAATAACCTAATGAGATGAGACTAAATTTATTGAAATGTTATAACGTTTAACGCTTCACGTTTATTAAAGACAAATCATGCATACGAAGTTCAAATTTAATGAGTACTTCAGTCTTGTCGGAAACTACTAACCTAAACATTTTCTAACTGAAAAATGAAATATTTTCGGCTACAATTAAAAAGTTTAATATCAGTTATATCTGTTAATAAAATAATTAATGCAGGGAATTCATTTTTAAGAGGTACCGTTCCACGGGCGCGATCTTACCACAGCCAACACGCGTTGCCGAACAATGTTCATTCAAATCAATGTTCAACAAATCAATGGTCTCAAATAATTTCATCTCATAAATTTCACAACTTTACCTACTATCGCGAGTAAACAACAAGCGGATTAAGCTTTGTAGATCGGAACCGACGGCGTAATTGTGTTTGCAACGAAGTATTTCGGTAAACCGTTTCATGAAACGAATATTTCTTAAATTCGAAAATGTTTCCCGAGCTCTCACCATCTTTGAGTTTCGCGACAGTTTGTCTACCGCGGAGTTGCTTCCTTTCATTCCTGCTCGCTTCCTTGCGGACGTTTTGGCCGCATTGGAGCTGCTGGACGCCGCTGCTTTCTTCTTTTTGGCGCGGCCAGCAGCGGCCGACGATGATGTCGGGGGTTTGTCTGAATCGTCGCTGCTGGAGTTTGAATCACTGGAAATGTAGTGAGATATTAAAACTTTCGTTAGGATAAAATCATGGTGACAGTTTGAATAAGTTCATATGACAGCAGAGAGGCGGGTGGCGGTTACCTAGAGGCTAGAGATATATACAAGGCAAGATCAAATGCAAGTGGATGCAAAAAACAGATTTCCCTGCAAATTATAGGTACAACAACGACATGGGTGGCAGTATGAAGTAGTGAGTAGTACACCAATAAGCACATAAGTTTATATATAAATAAAGCTGATTACTAGAATTCAAGTAACGAGTAGAATTTTTACCCTATATAAATCATGAATGGTACCGGATATTTGTGAATAAATTATTTAGTGTATGCATTTCATTGTTTGAGAATTTACTTTAGTGGAAGTAAATAGGTTGATAACAAGTTGACCACAGAAAATATTGAAAATTTGAGTAGATTTTCAAGCAAAGGAATGCGATTTACCTGAGATCGACGGCCGTTGGTTCGTCGGCATTGGAGCCCTTCTTGACGAGACGCGCCCAGAGCTTGTGGCGTAGCTTTTCCTGTTCTGTACGGCAAACCCGCAACAAAAACAAGTTGAAATTTAATTTAATTGAGCCCAAATATATTTTCTTTAATTGGCTCTTACTGTAGATATTTCTTTTGACTTCTCAGGTACGTTTCATCATCTAAACCCATTATTACACGAAAAATATTGCACCTATGTATATATTGATAATAAATTGGGTTTCAAAAAATAAACATTTTTCGCTTTTCCAATCGAGTTGGCGGACTAAATTTACGTCGGTTAGTGAACAAATTAAATACTTATTAGAGAGCCAGTTTGACAAACAAAACGTGTAAATGTAGGGAACTTCAGTACAATTTACGTTGAAATTGTAGCACGAGAAAATGTTTGTCTTAGTCTTGAAAAGTCTCTGATATTCAAAAAATTTAGCTCCTGAACTCTAGAAAAAATCAATATACATTCTTTCATTTTTGTGTGTTGAGGGTAAAGCTTCCCGTTAAGACACGTTTGATTAAAAAGTGCGTGATTTGTGATGGCACTCGCTCGGAGTAAAATAAGGCTTGGTTTTACCAACATCACTTTTCAAGTTTAGAGAGTCGACGACCTGAACTATTTTACGAATTTTTATACACCGGCAAAAATTTAAACTCCAAAAACTTTTGAACACATATGCCATAATTTTTGATTAAACATACTTTAATTTCCGACACCGAAGTACAAAGATCCTATAAAATGTAGCTAAAAATGTAGTAAAATTTCGGCATAAGCAACATATAATCAAACTATTACACTTACCAAAGTATTTCCAAACATTGCAAGCGTGCAAGAAAATGATTGCATATGATTCCTTTCAAAATATAAAATTGTTATAGATAAATTGACAAAACAATTAATGCGCTTTTAAGAAAAACTTGGTACTGCCTATAATATATTATGGATTCATTATTAAAATAATTATTGATGTCACTTGTTTGCATGAATCGTAAATCAACTGAAAATTTAAAAGCAGAGAAAAGTTCCGCAAAAGTTAAAATAATATCTTTATAACACTCACGCCGAGCAGTGTAATGTTCCTGTATCTGAGTGACTTTGAAGTGATAGCTTCCACTTCAGGTAGTTCTGATCTGTGTATTTTAGAATCCTTGTACATTTATAAACAGAGGCCCAGTTTGAATTCAGTTTTCAGATCATATCCCCTTGAGATTGTGAATAGGTAATTTTTGCTGTTTTTTCTTGTGCTTTCTCTTTCATTTGTAAATTTAGATTTTAATTTGGTTCCGTGACTTTCTAACTAGTGATTTCGGTACTAACAAGTGATTTTATATGCAGTCTAGAATCTTCGAACTGACGATGGAGCTGGACTCCGAAACGTTTTCCATGAAGATATGATGAACTTTAATAGAATTCTCTTTGCTTTTAAATTTCTAGTTAAAAAAATTAAAATTATACTAATTTACTCAATACAAACTATTTTTCATAATTTTATAAATTGGATGTGTATAAACGAATGATTTAGTGTTATTGATAATACATATAACGACATCACAACAACGTCTCTGAAGCTTTCTGCCCTATTATTAATTAACGTACGACAGTTCCTACAATTTGAGAGCTTCATCCAAAATCGGAACTAAAACCAGGAGGCCAAAGCGATGAAAGTCGTTAAGTTAGAGCCAACGACTGACAAAGTAAGACAGGTGGCGCGATTAATTTATTATTTACATATCAGAATTAACATAAAGATTGAGCATGGACGACAACCACCGTTGTGAGTTCTTATCACGCAATTGCAAAAGAGCTAATACGCTGACACTTTGATCAAATTAATCAAAAATCAAAATATCAAATTAATGGGAACCCACTTTAACAGGCAGTGGGTCGAAGTAGGTGTGTAAAGTTTCACAGAACTGTAGGCCGAGTGTAGTGAAGTCGTGGAGTGTGAAGTGGGTGTGGGCGCGTGTGCCGTGGGTGGCCCCACCAAACGAAGCCTCGAGAGTGTAGGAGTGTAGCACACCCATCATCCACACGACGATCCTAGCGGTGCCCTCCTTGCTGCGGTGGATGCGGAACTTGCATCCGCGGAAACTGAACTGCCGCATGAAAATTAATGACAGATGACGTGAAAATTAATGAAAAATGGCCTGGAAATCATTGAAAAATGCGGCGGTAATTGTGAGACGACGGGAAAATAATGTGAAAAAGACTGGGAAAATCACGATCAACTTGTGGCCAGCGACCAAAATAGTGGCGAAAATATGAAAACATTAATCAAATAAATTAAATAGTTATTTCAGAAATTGATGTAAGCTTGTAGTTTTCAGAACTCGAGCTGATTTCCCGTTTTGTCTTATCGCAGCACGACTAAATTTCTTACTCTGGCACAAATCTGTGGGGACCATCACAATGAAATAACAAAAACCGGTTACGGAGAGTCGGTTTCAGGATGTAGGGACTGACGTTGCGTAGAGATAACGAGCGCTGGAGTGTTTAAAAATAACTGGGGATCTCACAACAGCTGTTACATATTGGGCACTAAAAGCTCGTCTCAAGAAACGCTGGCAGCAAAGAAACGGATCATCACAAGTCATCCAGCGCACTCCCAGCTAGATTTTGTTCTGATATATTCCATATGAATTTTATCTCCAACATTCCATATGAAATTTATCTGCAACATTCCATATGTATATATTTATAACAGTTGAACTAGATCTTTCACTCGGCTGTTAATCAGCAATACTCGTACCAAATCAAAAATCGACTATTGAATGATTAAAAATTGTCACCCAACCAGTCACACTTCCATTTGTCTGTTTACCTGCATTATTCAAAATCAAATTAAACCAGTAGAATAAGGAAAGAAAGTAATCCAGTAGAATAAGGAAAGATAGTAAACCGGTAAAGTAAGGAAAGATTAATAAGGCTTACTTTATCGCCAGCGTTGTAGTGTAGCAGCAGCGGGAAGATCTGTTCTCTGAGATGGTTCTCATGACTTCTCCTGTTCTCACAGCCGTACAGGAACGTGTTATGCTTGCGCGAGTGCGCATGGAAGTCGCAGAACATAACCACTCCGTGCTCATCCATCAGCCTTAAACAATAATTATTGTTTTTATATTAATTACAAATCACTTTTTAATATCGTAATCGACTTCAATGAAATGGCGTAAGGTCGAAGACATATTACCTACTTTCTCAACGTGGTCCTTTTAATTTGGACCGTCCTATTACATGCAAAAATGAAGTCGCATCAACATACAATAGCAAAACTCACTTCCTGACCATAGCCTTGATGTTCCATATAGAAGGGAACATCTCCTTGACGACCATCTTGTACTGTCGGTTCAGGTCACGCGCTGCCAACGAGCACCGATGATTGCCGACGATAACTCCATCAGGATTGATCATTGGGACAATCTTGAACACAAACTGGCGTCTCAGGTCCTAAGAACAATCACACCATCAGAGTAGACTATTGAGACAATCTTGAACACAAACTGACGTCTCAGGTCCTAAAACAATCACACCATCAGGGTAGATCAGTGGGACAATCTTAATGACGAACTGATTTCTAAGGTCATAAATGCAATGCCCATAAGTATTAATTCATCTTAACTATTGTTGAGTTGAATATCGGATTACACCAATGCGAAGCGAAATCTTTAATAGAATCTTGCTATTAGGTTTAGGTAAATTACCATATAACTATAATTACCATATAACTTTATTTTTTTCGATGGTGGTACAACTATTTAGGTACATCCTTGTCCAGCTAATACTTAACAAAGTACGTAGAATTCACTGTAATTCTATAACTGGAAACCTGAGATGTATTTTCAAACTAATGAACTTCCGAAGCACACTCACACCAGCGCGGTTGAAATTGAAACTGAGAAAGTAAATTCCTTTTTCGCAAATTCGTTTTCCACTCTCCAAAACTACACCAATATGGCTGAGAATATTACAGCCACTGCGCTGGTGTAAAATTGACATATTTCTGGAGCTCGGCGGAGATCAAATTCATTAGCGGCAGTAATTGGTTAATTACCTAATTAATGCTAGGTAAATAGCCGATAACTGTCACAAGAGAATTAGGTTTTCGACTAATTCGAGAATATTGGCGGTTATAAAATTGCACACTGGCTATAATAATTTCAGTTATGTTGGTTCAGTCGTTCGCGAGTCGGTTAGTTAACCGATATCGCAAATGAACTTGAACCATTAGAATATCGAGAACTGTGTTATTTTCACAGAAGCAAAATGGCTGTAATAATTACATTTATGTGAGTTTAGTCGTATTCGAGTTTAGTCGTTTATATCAACAGATAAGTGCCGCAAATTAACTTGAATCTCCACCGAACTCGAGAATTATGTTAATTTTACACCTACGCGGTGGCTCTATCAAGTTCAGGAATATCTGTTTATTAGTTCTCGAATTAGCTAATAAGGCTATATGCACATCGTAAATAAATTTGAATCTCCACCGAACTGGAGAAAAATTTACAACTGCGGAGTGGTTGCTGATATAATTTCAGGTTGCGAGTGTTCAGTCGTTCTCGAATTAATCAACAAATAACTGCCGAAAATAAACTTCGATCTCCATCAAACTCGGGAAACATTTTAATTTTGCACCTACGAATAGGCTGTTATAATTGCAATAATGCAGGTTCATTGTAGATTTACTCGTTTCAGAATTAGGCATTACACCAATAACTGCAACAAACGAACTTTGATCTTAACCTAACTCGAGAAATATGGTAATTTTACACTTGCGCAGTGACTAATAATTTCAGTTATGGGGTTAAGTTTTCGTTTCATGATTAGGCAATTAACTGATAACTGCCGCAAGGAAACTTAAGCCTTGACCAAGATAGAAAGATAAGGCTATATTCAACCCCATCGTAGTGACTGGAATTATACAAGATATGCAATTTCAGTTGTTTTCGAATTGTAGGAACCCGTGCAAATAAATTTGATCTCTACCAAACTAGGGAGATATTTTCATTTTGCAACTACGAATATGCTGTTAGCCCCGCAATTATGTGGATTTAGTCATTTAAAGAAGATCGAGGCAATCAACGTAAGGCAATTTAAAAATGAGGCAATCGTTTTAAAATAGGCAATAAACCAATAACTGCCACAAATGATCTTGGATTTCCGCCAAGCTCGGAAATAATATAAATTTTACACATGCGCAGTGACTGTGATAATTTCAGGTTTGCGGGTTACGTTGCTTTAATTAAAAAACTAAATGATAAATACAGCAGATAACTTGGATATTTGCAAAAGTCGAGATATGTTTTAACTTTACACCAGCGCGGTGTTTCTTTTAAAGTTCAGGTATCAGGGTTTAGTCAATCTCAAATTAGCTAGTTGAACGATAACTGTAGCAAATAAATTTGGATCTTCACCGAAGTCGAGAAATATGTTACTGTGGCACCAGCGCAGTGGCTATAATAATTTTAGCTTATGTGAATTAAGTCATTTCGAATTAATGAATATACCGACAACTGCCGCAAGTGAAGTGGGAACCCACCAAACATGAGAAACGTGCTAACAACACCACACTCCACCACAACACCACACTCCACCACAGCACCACACTCCACCACAACACCACACTCCACCCCTCACCACCCCTCACACCCCTCACCACGGCACGAGGGTTATCCGAGGTAAGGAAGTCTAAGGCACCCTTCATGATCCAGGACGCGGGCGTCTCCCCGGGGTGCACGCGCGCCGTCAGCACGATGGCGCGCTTCTTCTGCAGACATGAGAGGCTTAGAGCCGGTACCAGCCTCTCCTCTTCGCCCCAGCCTCCCCTCTACACCCAAGCCTCCCCTCTTCACCCCAGCCTCCCCTCTTCACCCCAGCCTCCCCTCTTCACCTTGCCCTCGTCCTCGGGATGGTTGCTGGTGATGGTGAGGAGGGTGACGGGGTTGCCCGCTAGTGTGCGGCACATCACGCGCTGCTTGCACACGCTCGCTCTCGCTGGGTCGTTCTGCAACATAAACGGAATAATTATTATTTAAATAAGGAAAATATCACGATCATTAATTATATAAGGAATAATTGTTTTGCAACACATAAGGTGCCGTCCTGTTCAAATAGTTATAAGTTCGTAACTTCGTCAGGCAATCATCGACGGCTTTTCAAACTAAACACACAAATCGTCGACGAGAAGTCAGACGCTACGCGTACTTCATTAGGCTGCTTTGTGTAAGTACGCAATTTCGATAGTACGGCTCATGCAGTAATATTAAAGCCTTTTGAATGCACTTCGTACCAAGAATAAAAGTAAATTAATAACTAAAGTTACATCAACATTTTCAAAAGTGTTCCATTCTATAATTTTGGCTTTACTTTGCCGGGCTAACGATATGTAAAGAATAAAGTATAATCATTTCTTACCACTATAGCAAAGTATTAGTTTCTTTAAAGTAGTCATAATTAAAAATGAAATTACGCTCATTACTTTGGTCAACTTTTACGTTTTCGATCCGTTTCCTTGCAAACATTATAAAGGAAATAATAATCTCCTTATTCTCCTATGATATTAATAAGAAATTGGAGACCTGGATGGCGAGGAGATGCTGCTGCAGGAGGGAGAAGGTGTAAGGGTAGCAGTGGGCGAGGTATACAGTGTCGTGGTCGTGAGGGAACGTCACGTTGAAAGTGAGGGTATAGGAGGCAGCTTCTTCTTCTGCATCGTCGTCATCGCTGTCCAGGCAGCTGGGGTCACTGACAAAAATAATTTCATTTCACGATGAATAGTAATGCACTTGAAAATGAGGATAGAAAATCGAAAATTTGCTTAACAACGAGAAGAAAATACCTCAATTTCTTTCGTCATTTAGGTACGAAAATTCACGTGAGAACCAGGGTATAGCAGAGCAACTAGCTTGATTCGTTAAAGTTTCACGGGATAAGTTCTCAGCAAACCACAAGAAATGGACGTGGAAAGTACAAGAAATGTGAAAGCTGATTCAGGGGTGGTAGTCAGCTCCTAGTCACTATTCATTGATCGTTCTACATGGTCAGACTCGCATTTTTTCTGGTACAAAAAAAATTTAACATTTTCATACAGAGTAATACTCACTCCTTGTGTAACACAATACTCTCTGTACATCATTCTTGGTAGCTCTCGATACTTGTCCGACGTGGCAATACTCACTACTCATGCTCATGAGTGCCAGAACTTGTCTTATGAATCAATAATAATAGGTATACTCATTACTTGTCATGAAGGACAATACTTGTTATGCTCACTACTTATCCTGGTTCCTGAAGTAGACGATGTTACTAGCACATCTCCTCCAGCCCACGCCGTGCAGCTGAGCTTCCTTCTCGCTGTACAGCAGCGGCCGCAGTCCGTGGTTGTAGAGGCTGTCACACTTCATCAGGTTCACGATAGAAAATCTGGCACAAATAAATCATATTAATATCCATAAATTTAACAAAATTTCTGCGTTGATAGTGAAATCTAATGCTTCCGAAGTTCTATTTTTAATTTTTAAAAGAATAATTTCAGTTGTATTAGATAGCTATTTGAACAGACGTGGAACACTAAGTAAAGATCGCATTTCACAAGCTAGTAAACATATACAGTAGCAGTGAATGAAACTGGACATCGCGTTTCAATTCCATATCTTGAATTAGAGCAGAGAAAATGCCGCTTGGAACTTGTAATTTATTTTTCGTTATTGACTTACAAGAGCAACAATTCAAGTCGTGATCGTCGGAAGAATTTGCTTATAATTACAAATCTCCGATAACGATCATGATTTTGGTATACTAGAAAGTATGGTGTGAACAAATGCACATTTTACTGGCATGTTTTAATGACACAATAAATGCCCTCTGTTTCGAATAAAGTTAACAATGGAACTAGGAGCTACCAGGTCTTTAGGTCCTGAAAATTGAATCATTTATAACGTTAGCGACATTTAATTCACGTCGACCTATTATATTAATTATCCCAGTCTAAAATAATTCTCATAGAATCACGAAAACTGATAAGCAAGACTTATAAAATGTCAAAGTACATAAAACTGTTACAGTAGTAACACTATCGCATACTTAATTCCTGCTCAGATCACAACAGAGTCAATATCTTACAGTTCATTCGATATAACCATCTGAGTAGATAGTAATGTTGATTGTTAATAACAATATCTCTTAAATAAGTTTCATCCCAAGCTCGTTGGAATTGTATTCGAAGCCGCTAGGTAATACAGGGTGGCGCTACTCATTATTTGCATTAGGTGGGCAGGGTGGCCCAGTGGTTAAAGTTCAGAGTACCAAGATTGGAGCAGAGAGGCGCGGGTTCGATCCCAGCTCTGTGCGCCAGTTTCTGGTCAGAATCGGCAAGGAGGTCGGGCGGTTAAGCAAAAGCAAAAATTAAAGCAGTGAGTTGCGAGTTCGAGCCCGCAAGAAGCTGTGGATGTTCTCCGATGTTAAGAATCGTCGACAGGCCTACGGCGTAATAAACGCTGAAACCGCTACTACTACTATTATGTATGACCTGTACGTCATTTTCCTGCGTGTGTTGGAGACAGCGAAGTAATACCACTGCGTGTGGCGGGCCGTGTACAGGTCTGATCTCAGGTGCAGTTCATAGTAGCACTCCGACACTTGGATCACCTGTAGCACAGAACAGTTAGTGAAACAACCTAACAGTTACTAAACAGTTAGCGAAACACACCAAATGTGTGATGGAAGTTAACCTATGTTGGGTTTTAAAGCCTGATCTTAGATAAAGAACAATTTGGTGAACGAAGCTATAGTGTTTATTGAGTCTTAAAGCAGTTTTGCGCTACAGAACAATTTTGTAAAGAGATGCTATAAAGTTTCGGGTTTCAAAGTAGTTCTACGCTACAGAAAAATTTAGTGAAAGAATGGTTTGCGGTGCTGGATTAAGAACGCAGTCCTGCACAGTAGGACAGTTACGGGGTTAGAGGCTTTTTCAACATCCAGCCCTTATATGCAAATTGAAAATTAACAAAATTTACTCCCAACAGTATTCGTGACAGGCGAACTCTCTGCTATAAAAATGACGTATAAAAACTAAACGGAACTCTGGCAGCAACACCCGTAGATTGAGAGCAACTACTAATCAAATTTTGATCACATCAGTAGTAGCTTCAAAAAAAGTAATGAGAAGATGCATGTAGATAAACAGTACTATCATAGTGTGATGCTAGTTGAATTAATTATGTTATTAATATTTCTTGAGTATCATAAGAGTTCAAGCTTGCCATTAACCTTTGCTAGGTTGCCGCTTTCGAAGCGAGATTCGAACTGCAGTGTGCTGTCGGCCTCCGATGTGAGTGGTGGTCGCACTTCGTCGCTCACGTGCTTGTTGCCACCGACGCATGACCGAGAGAACTGAAAAAGTCTCAATCAATGAGGGGAGCTGAATGAGCTACTGGGATATTAAGGCTAGATAAAATACACCGGATTAGCAATTTTTTACCTTAAAAATTTTTAAAACATAAGATTTACATTCTCGAATTAAAGCAATTCTTGGATGATCCGCGCGCCATTTTTATAGCTTGGAAGTTCTTCTAACGCTCGCAGCATGCAGGGATTTTGAACAAAATTCAAATGAAACTTTTCTCATCTTCTGGCTGGCATGACGAATGACGTATCGAAGAGAAAAATGTACGCATAATTGTAAAGAGCAGACTTTTGCAATGCACCATTGTCTGATGCATCGTAAAATTATACAGAAATCGAACATAACAAATCATCCTGCAGCACAATAAAAGGTCCGCGCAATGTAAGCTCCAAGCAAACAGAAGATAGCTGTGGAAAACAAGCTAATTAGACATCGACCCTAAGACCATGCAGTGTCGGGGACGTGGTTGATTAAGTAGCTTAATTGTATTCAACTGCAGGCATTAATTTCTCGCACGCTTTAACATAGGCGTGACCAACAAGGGGTCAGAACCATCGTCCTTCTTAGGGAATGACATGAATGCCTTTCTGCTGTTAACTAGTTTCCACGTTCATGCAACTTTCATAATCGAGTTCATTTTACCGGCATACTTGATTAGGACTCCGTGATGAACTTAGCTTCCTTTGATTAGAATAAATTGGGTTCGGATAGTAGTACAAATACATGCATGTAAGTAGTACGGTACATTGCAAATACATGCCTTCTGAAGGTATAGGTATATTCTGTGAACCACAACGAATTTAAAAGTTCGATTCTTTGACACACTTTAATACGTAAAGAGTTAGTGGCATACTAGATAATGAGGTTAGATTAGGACGAGCACTTGCGTTTTGTAGGCTTAGTTGAGTTAGTTGACTAAACTCTCATAGTTTTTTGTTCACCTCGCGCTGGTTGGGTTGTAGTTGTAACTAAACTCACATAGTTCACCGCGCTGGTGGGGTTGTAGTTGTAACTAAACTCACATAGTTCACCGCGCTGGTGGGGTTGTAGTTGCAACTAAACTCACATAGTTCACCGCGCTGGTGGGGTTGTAGTTGTACACCACGCGGCCGGTTTCATCACCAACGGGTTGTGGTCGAAGTTCTGAGCCAGAGGCGCGGTAAAACGGCTCTGGATATAACGGCCAGTCTACGAGGTGCTGGATGGCTGGACCAACGACCTGAGGCGAGGCCGAATTAGAAAACATTTTGAGACTCAAAATTGCACGCGGAATTTTTAACGTACGAGACGAAAGAGCTTGCACATTGAAAGTAATGCATGTGAATAATGAAGGAAGATAAATTGTTCCATGTAATAGGTGAATGAAGAAAAATGTAGGGATATGGCAATTATGTTGAGTCAATATGAAATCATATCAAGCCAATATACAATAAACCAAAAAGCAATAGGGGAATAACTATCGGAAATTAGGCTGAAACAAAGTAAATTAGGAGCACAACATTTATGGTAAAAAGAACATAGAGGTATATAAATAACGACCAGAACAATAGGTATTAATGATGATGACATAACAAATGAAGGTATCATAAATTCAAATATGAAACAATGATAATAATCAGACATTGCCACATGCCAAACGGAATGGAAAAAAGTGGGCGTTACAAAGCAGTTGGACTGACCTGACATTCAACAGGCCACTTGACGTTGTGTTTGGCACAAGCTTCTTGCACGATACCGAAGAGACCAGATCCCGTCATGGGATTTCCGTTAATACATTTACTGGCCTCGCCCCAAGCAACTTCCGCATCGGTTTTAGATGCGGCGGTCGTTGCTCCTCGGCTGGTCGAAGCGGACGAACGTAAGTTTTCCGATACGGCGTTTGCTTGGCTCCGAACACACGACTTGGAAGATAAATTTCGTTCCGAATCTGAAGAGCAATCCATGGGCTTGCCATCATCATTCGAACTTTTGCGTAAACAGGAGAACGTATTCACAACGTTAAGGGGAAATTGCCTAACTTGATCCGATGGCAGTTTATTAATATTTACTGATAAAGACGCATCGCGAAGTTTTTGAATTAAGTTTTCATCTACTGAATGATCTGGCTTGAAAAGTGGTCGAATTCGATGACACGCATAACCATCGACATTTTCCTCTTGTTTGGGTATAGGCAGCAACCTTTCCTGAAGATCTGACGACAGTTTTCCTGGAAAATGATATTTTTAAGTTTACATAGATTATAAATGAATAAACAGGTAGAATTGAATAAACAGCCAGAATGAAAAGTTGAGGCTACTTTGCTGACGCAAGAGGTGTTGGAAGCAACACAACATCAATTAATAGACAGCGAGAAATAAGGAAACGACATACGCACGAAGAATTTACCATTTTGCAACTGCGTAAAGCACTTATCGACGAACTTATGTAGTTAGGAATCAAATAGTCTGTTAAATTGATATTTATAAGATTGACGAAAGGTGAGGAACTAATAGAAATTAATTAATATACGGTACTTTTGAAATAATGTAGAAACTTCAAGTGGAAGACCAAACTGCGTCTGAAAATTATTATGGAGGACTAAATTTCATTCAAGTATATTACCGGAACAGGGGGACAAGGTGGGAAGAGTGAGCGTGAACTGACGGGACCTCCATATACGAATAGCATTGACGACGGTAAATGTTCATAGAAGGTTATAAGTGCAAATTTGTGAGAGTAACTAATTGAATTTACGTTTGTCTTCGTAACGACGGTCCATTGCAAAGGAAGTCAAGCCTATTAATAATAGCGAAGCCTTTACCAACACAATTATTTTTATCGACCAATAGATTTGCTGTAAGAATTTCTATTCCACGACGACAAGAAGACTCTCAAACTAGCAACTTGTGTGTTTATTTTCAACATATTATTAGATTTTTTTGACACGTGGAATTTTGAAGTAAACTTGATGTTACAGGCCGCGAGTTCATTATCAGAACTTTAATTTGATCATGCGATAAATGTTCAGTACCAGAACGCATGCCAATCATTTAATGGGCTTGGATATACTAAGAACTTTTCTACAATAGGTATGGAGATGTAAAATTAGTCGCCTCAGGAATGAGTTCATGAGAACAAGAAATCCCAGCCAGGCAATATCCTGCAGGTCACGAAATTGCGTTCAATGCATTTGCTGAACTCTTTTACTGAACATGACCTAGAAGCCTCAGCGATTATAAAACAAAAGGCACGAACTGTCTAGCAACAGGCAATTCAGGATAATAGGTTGTCTTCATCAAAAATGAAAGGCATGAATTGTAGTGTATCATTTCTAGGAAATGCGTGCCTCGACGACTACGAAAATGTATTGAATTAACAACACACGTCTATAAATATCACTTACGGGATATTGGCTTGCCTGCCAAATTGTGATGGCAATAAATCCTTAAATTGTCAGCAATTTTCTTGTCAAAGAAGAGCAGCAATCCATTCTCCTTAACACGACAAGTCACAATCTCGTGATTTAATTCTATTACGGCATCTAATTGCGTCTGAGACGTCGAGCTTATGTGGGCGACATTTGTTTCGGTCTTCTATTCACCAGTCAAAAGCACGTGGTAAACTGATATATTAATAGGGAAGAAGGCACGTGAACCAAATATAAATTACAGTATGAAACTTTGCCTTTAAATCAATTTGGACCATAAACTCAGTACTTACTCTAAGTATAAGGATTCATCACGTAAATTATTGGGTTATTGAGTTATGTAGAAAATGAATAATTTCATGGATTTTCCAGGATGAAATGAATTGAGTGTATTCATTCAATTCCTCACCTTTACTGGGGATCAGTCGTTTGTCTAGAGCGGCCACGGAAGTTTCGTGTCGATGTTGCAGGTCGCTCGTTTCATAACTCATCTCAGCGCGTAGGCCGGAAATGTGAATACACAAACCTTATAACTGTAATTGAGACAACTTAAGTACCCATAAATTTAATGAGTTGAATTTATAACCACATTGCTGTAGATGAAGAAAATGGAACGAAACCTAGTTATAACACGACGTACAAACGAAGGCGTCAATGAATACTATGGACGCGATTTAATATGTATGAATACCGACTCGAAGAGCAAGAAAAGACGATAAGAAAGGACGCAGATAAGAAAATTTGAACACTTCGAACTTAGGGTCCATCAACAGCGAGTGAAAATATTCAAAGTAGCAATAAGGAAATATTCCCGGGTCTACACATGTGTTAGTTTAAATCTCATTAGATTCTTTCAATAACCAAATCCAATAAAGTAACACTTGAATGTTCGTTCAAGATATGCACTCGAAACACCAAAGGTAATTTTCACTTAATAAAGGTGCAACACGTCAAAATAAGCGTGGAAAAACGTAGGAGTCGTCACTGATACAGATGATCAGAATAGAAAGCTTCATTGCTAAAAAATTTTCTAAAAAGTATAAGAAGAGATTTAAAAATAAAGTAGGTAGGTACTCTCACAAACACGCATTTTAGCATTTGGGATTTTCATCAAATAAAATCCATAAAACCAACAACGATGATTCAGAAGAAAACTTGAGGGAGTCTCAAGCTGAATCTAATTAACAAAACATCAAGTAAACTTTTGAAATGTAAAAAAATGTGTATATTTTTCGAGTTGATATATCTAAATTCTAAATTTAACACTGATGGTATTATTTATTTTTCCGTTGCTATTCCAACAACCGGAGAGACTTGACTGCTGAACTGATCTCCTAACCTGAGGTCACGGTGTCCGTCACAGAGGGAAGAATGCCGTCGGGTTCTCAGACGGATGTCGTCTCTGTTCCGCAGTCGATAATCAAGAGCCGGACTCTTAAGAATAATTGCGCTGTCCTAGATTCGTAAGCGCATGAAAGAATTTAGAATTCAAACCGCATCCGAATTGCAAGGATTATTCGCATTCACATACATTAAGAATTTGCATACTAATCTTCAATGCAGGCTCATGTGGGAATAATTCAAGCTTCAGTTAGTATGTTTGAACAATGTTAGTAGCAGTTATTTATTTAAGTGGTAACAATGAAAGCCAAATCCATTCGAGTGGGAATAATGCAAGTTTCCATTAACATAATGTTTATAATTAAAACCTTATTTATCATAGTTGAGATAAAGATGACGATGCTCAAATAAGTAGGTAAGTAACTTGAAAACCGAACACAAAAAGTATAAACTTATCATTACAAGATTCAACAAAATTGAAAAACATGCAATTAAATGGACGTTTTTGACGTTATGCACTTGGCCGGCTTATGTGGGCCGCGGCCAGACCATGAATTCGTCGTAGGCGGGCTAGCGTTGCCATGACTACGCGAATATCGAACTTGCCTACAGACCTCGAGCTTACGCGATCGAGAATTACAAATCTAGAAAGAAATGGATGATTTAGATAGAAAAGTGCTGAACTGTAAGGTGATTTTTTGATCTGGATAGAGTATTATAGATTTGTGGAGAGTATTACTGATCTAGATTGAGTACCTACTCGTATTGATGATCTGGACCGATAATTACTTAGGCCCATCTGGAGAGTGGAGACTGGATGGAGAGTTAATGATCTGGACCCAGAATTAACTATCTGGATCGAGAATTACTAACTGATCTTGATCGAGAAATGCTGAACTGGATGGAGAATTGGTTTTTTAATAGACTTTAATATTATATATAATAATAGAATGACTAACATTGATCAAGAATTTAAGATTCGAGTTCACACATGTGGCAAGGGAATTATCGTATCGAGTCACAAATTGTGATTTGAGGATCAAGTTTGGCTCTAAAGGTACAATTTAACGGAGATTTACGTAGGAAAATAACGTTTATAAATCATACTAATGAACGCATACCTGAATTAAATAGCAAAAATCGACATTTATGTCGCTTCAACAGTCTCATTAAACAGAAGAGAATATTTTTTATTTTAATACGCATTTGAAATTAAAACTTTCAGATGTCTACGCGAGAACTGAGAAGATGAATAGTTATTGCCTTTTAAATGGAGAGAAGTTAGATCCACATTTACTCGAAAAATGAAGATGGATTGAACCACGTTTACAAAATACGAGATACACCGTACGGTACAATGGAAAAATTTTTGTAGAAGTCTGAAGATGAAACACTACACAATAAATGTGTACAAACGGAAGATTCTTAATCTAAAGATATATATACAAAGCCGGATCTTAGTTTAAAGTTTGTCATACGGGCTGAAAACCAAAGTGTATTCAGAACAAAAAACGAATCGAGTTCAAATTTTTACGCCGTTTTGATACGGTACTAGTAGTCGGGATTATCGTACAGCGATGTCAGACTCGGAACAGCAGGTGACCAATTTATTGATCTCGCCAAATAGAAGTCCTGTATTAATGCAAACTATTTTAAAATCAGAAAACGAATGAAAAGGATGGTCTTTATTCTAAAAGAAGTCAAGATAAGTATACATAGTTGGCTAAACCAGATAATTATACACTGAAAATCGGGTGGCCGGAGACGACCCCCAGCGACAGAGTTCGAGACACATCCGCGGAGCGACTTACACCACACCAAACGACAGTTGAGGGGCAACTGACGAAGCTACGATCCTGATTTCTGAAATTACTGATCCGGGAGGCTGACACGGAGACCGGTCATGCAACACCGAATTGCGGACGGATGAAGGGTTCAAGTTAAATAATAATAGCTGGCACAATATTACATATTTCTCTCATAATGGGTGGGAAATAGGGTAGGATGTCACTCCGAGGATATTGTGCAAAGAAACACGGCTCTGTTTCTCGGTGATTTGACACTGGTATATATACGTTCAGTTCCATACCAGTGTCAAACAGAACATATACGTTCAAACAGAACACATACGTCCAAGCAGAACATATACATTCAAACAGAACATATACGTTGTTTTGTTTGAACACTCCAGCATAAACTCATTAGAAACTATAAAGGATCAAAACTGTTTGGTATTCTTATGACATTTTTAATATAATGAACACAATTCCAATTATTTTGGCCCCAGGAATATCATTCATTTCATGCGTATTCTGAAAAACCGAAGTTAATGGTAGTCAAGGCGAGAATTACTATCAACTAGCTCGCGTCAGAACATCCATGCAGCTTTGTTCGAGACTGAAACAGTGGTAGAAATGTATTGATGAGTCAGCATTGAGTATCTAAAAAAAGCTGAAAGCGTATCGTAAACTTGAATTATTCGTTAAAAAGTATTATCAATAAGTAACGAAATTCAATTGTTGTTCAGATTTGCCGTAAGTTGTAATTCCAGGTGAAAACGGAACAGTTTAACCATGTTGTTCTGCATTGCTCGGCCATTTTGATGCATTAAGACTCACAATGTACGCTAGCTCCTTGTGCTTCAGCAATAAAGTTACATTAAACATTTTCACCCAAATTTAATTTCAATATGTTATATGTTCCAGTTCACCATTTCATAACTAAAATTGCACCCGGTTAATGCTGTCGCTTGGCCATATTACTACCTGTGCGTTGGTGAAGCTCTTGGCTATTGCCTAAAACACAGAACCTGAAACCACGTGTCATAGGACAACGGCAAAAGCCACCGGACACATGATAAAATCTCCAATAACATGGAAAGGATGTTGTTTTTTTATGTACAGGTGTGTCACGGTTCACTGTCAGTAGTGACAGACCACAATACCTAAACCCGTCCTTTCATAATGTGCATTTTATTCAAATTGTCCGAGCGACATAGTGGATAAAGAATTGAAACTTTGAGTTGAGGGTTCGATTCCAGCTAGATGAGAGAATTCTGTTCGAAATCGGTGAGGTGGTTGAGAACAGCAAGATTGGAGGCGGTCGTAAGCCCCAGCAAGCTATAAAAATAACATACGTTTAAAAATTACTTTTTAAAGACAACACTTCCAAAGAATCCAGTGTCTCCAACCTTACAGATGTACCATGAATTTCTCATTTAATTTTTGAATATTATAAAAATTAATTTTTCAATTTTTTAATATATAAATTTTTTTCAAAATTATTTATTCTATTAATTGATTCATGCATTGCCTCTGACTTCACACAAGTGTACAAAATTTCAGATCAATTAGACATTTAGACAGGTAAAAGTGTGTCAAATATCAGTTATAAGATTTGTAGCTGACAAAATTATTTTTTCAATTTTTTAATATTAAATTTTTTTTTTAATTTTTAAAATCATTTATTTTGACATTTGATTCATACATTGTCTCCAACATTATACAAGTGTGCAAAATTTCAGATCGATAGGATAAGTAGAAGTGTGTTAAATTTCGATTACAAGATTTGTAGCAGACAGACAGACAAACAAGAAGTGAAGTTAAAGAGAAGTGTTGTAATTACCATAGAATCGGCGACACGGCAGACCTGTCTTGTTCAATGACGACACCTTGATGAATTAAACTTTACACGCACATAACTCTTATCGTGTTCAATTACTTACACTAATAACACATGTATAGAGCAGTTAACCGTATGCACCTGCTCAAAATTAGTGAAACACATTTTCGTTAGTTTTCTAGACAACACTAATAGCGCAGATCAATTTGTTAATTGACCACATTAATGTAGCGCACTGGCGAACGCACTTGCGTGAATGCAAGTGCACAGAATGAACGTATTTGCGTAACACTAATTTCGTACTATTACGAAATTACGTCTTCGTAAAAGACATGAAGCAATGATGTAACAGTTTTCCTAACGAAGCTAATACAGCACAAGTTCCCAAATGCATTAGCGCAAAATAATATAGCACAGTTTCATTGGCGTACCTAGCAATACTTTAACACTTACATGCCTCACTAATGTTAATGTTCGTGCTCGCACCTAAAGCAACACTGATTGCAAGGAGAAGAATATACCTGGCATACGTAGAGAGCTCGAAGTATAGTTTCCAAGTTTTTCCAAAGAAAAAGTTTAGTCACCATTACTTCTGCTTTCATTTCCATTCACCTATTTCCCTGATACAGATATTTTAATCAAAAAATGAACTACAAAGAACGTTGCTGAAGAATTATATTCATAAAACAGATGTAAATTTTTCGATCAATTTGTTTGTATGCTCAATAAGCCTCAATGCCAATATTTTTCTCCGGTAATATCAAGATTAGTTTAATTAAAATAAGCCAGGTCTGAATTCGTGAATGTATATCTGGCTCGTATTTCGGAGAGAAAAACAGAATCTAGGTCGAGTCATGATCCCGAGAATCCAGGTTACCGTCATGATGCGGCCACTCCGGGAACCGCCATCATCATGGCCTGTTATTTGATGATGCGTGCTGCACGAGAGATCAAGCTCAGCATGAGGCTGTGCGTGACACTGCCCGAGTCGTAGCGCATGCATGACTCAGATTATGTCATTATTGTTTGGCTTGTTAACTACTTATCGAAAGAGCCTGTAAAAAACTTTCGATTCTTTTGCGATGTCTCGTCTTCCGTTTATGATCTCAGAGAAGAAAGGAAACAAAATTGTTAACCAAGTTTAATTGACGATGGCGATGATCCAGGGAGGAATTTCCAATTTAAACATATACGATCCGATGATTATAAGAATAAACTAATGTGTACGCGGTGAGTAGGTCTCTTCCTCTTTTTACAGGACTTCTCTTAACTTCACTTCTTGTTGTCTGTCTGCAACAAATCTTATAATCGATATTTAACATACTTCTACCTCTTCAATCGACCTGAAGTTGGATACAATAGATGAATCAATTGACAGAATACACAATTTTTAAAATAAAAAAATGTATTTTTTATATTAAAAAAATTTGAACACATAATTTTGTCTGCTACATATCTAATAATCGCTATTTAACGCACTCCTACCTGTCCAATCGATCTGAAATTTTGCACAGTTACGTAAAGTTGGAGGCAATGCATGATTCAATGGATAGAATAAATAATTTTGAAGATTTTAATTTTTTTAATTTTAAAAATGAAATTTAAAAAATTAATTTTTTTTAATATTTGATAATAAAATTAGAAATTCATTCTAAATCTGTAATATTGCAGACAAAGTGACACTGAATTCTTTAGAAGTGTTGTCTTTAAGAAGTATTTTTTAAACTCATATCATTAGAACTAGAGAGCTAGGTAGAGAGTATAACAGTCTCTATTAATGAACCTCTTCGCAGGTTGAATTCCCCTTGTCTTTGAGTGAACACATCCGAAAAAGCGAGACTTGCTGAGAACTCAAGTTAGGCGTCGATGGAAATTAAGGGAACAATTCATCAGCCTTCGTGTGGAACTCAGAACAATCTCCAACAGACAACCAATGTACTGTGTAGGTACATAGGCTAATAGGTACCTAGCAGGAAATTATTAGATTGCCCACACTTCGATTACGGTATGAAAATGATACCTAGGTACTAGATACAATTTTCATTTCATAATCGTTTTATGACGGTTAGCGTTATTAATGCTGATGATTGGCATAGGATCAGAATAAGAAAAAAAGCTTAATCAAACTAAATGGGGAGCTATCGAAATGGTTCAGGGACACTTGGCTTCTACAATATAGGCTACAAGCCTACAACATACCGTACAAGCCTAGACTAATGGTGAATTTTCATCGTTTAAACCCCAAGTCACCACGCGTCGAGTTAGTTTACAGCTCAATTTTAGCAAGTTGTTACTATGTACTCGTGACTCGTCCAGTTCTTCTTTTAAATGTGATCTCAGGAGTCAGGACTCAGGGCAGGTACCTAAAAGCTTGCTTCCGTTAGGATCTAAACTTTCAAGGTTTCAAATATATTTTGCTCTCTACTTCAAGTTGTTCAACCAGTTTAAATTTGTCAAAATTACCTTATTACAATATACTAAAGTATACTCGCGAACTTTGTCATACATGCTACGATTAATAAATAACCAAAAAATTTGACTGCTTACCAAAATGACCGTCTAATTTTTCAGCTCTGAAACTATCAGTGGTAGTAAAACACCAAATGCAAGTGAACCTAACCGTAGGTAGTAGGTATCATATATGAATGTCCTGTTTTTTTTATCCAACGCTTTTCAACTTTCACAAGAAAATGCAGTCAATGAGAGTACAGCCATAATAGTAGTCTTTTTCATGCTTAATCTGAAATAAGTAGCCATTTTTTCAAAAGTACCAACACAAAAAGTCACGAGACAGCAACTCCGCCATCCCTCACACGCTAAGCGCTTACGCAGTTACGCGGACTAATTTGTTGATGTGCCACTGCCAGGAGCTACACCTAAGCAACTCGGTCAACAACTGGCAACTCATAATTCTCCGTTGCAATACAGTCTTCATTGAGTTGTTCGCTTCTTATAGAGTGGTAGGTAGTGAATCAAAGTGATTTATCGTATCATTTATGCTTCTTGTATCACCTCTTCACATATTGTAACCAAAACTCTTTTTAAACCTTTCTTCTGTTTGTTAATCGAAATATTACTCGGATTGATTCAAAAGCATTTGAAAAATTAGTTAATAAATGTCTTCCCCTGTTAGGTTGACCAAATTAAACACAAGGAACATGTGTAAAACGGTTTACTTCACATTTTGTACATGAACAATAGCTGTGATAGTAAGAACAATAACAGTTTTGATCATAACCTGATACGTAAGGTAACAATGAATTCAGGTATTTTTCATCGGTTATTTTTGTGTTAATACAATTTGCTGTAAGATTGATACGAAAGTATTTAACAGCGAATTGAATTGAGCAAATTTTGTTTCCAAGAAGACATTCCATTATTTTAGATGGTATGCCAGATTTTTCTCCTTTTCATAAGCTATCTTCCGTTATCCCTGTTAGAAATGAATTAATTTCAAATAATTTGGTTTATACAACATGCGTCTTCTTAAACGAGGGTGCAAGGAGGAACGCAACAAATCACCATTACTTAGGTAGCGTGTGAGTTTCGATAGAATTAGTTTTTGCTCATAACAGATTTCTGTTTAGCGCAACAATTAGGTCATTTTATTACTAAAGTTAGAATTAAGAATAAAGCATTTGCAGCGACCATAATAATCTACATAATTTTGTCAATTTTTAATGGAAGTCCGCATTCCTCCGTCACAGCATCGAAAACCTAGACGTTGCACATTATTATTTAAAAATTTTGACACCGAATAATAATCGAGAATCTTTTAAAAGTTTCAACCCATTTCAAATTTTATATGCATCAATGCCCATATTGGAGCCTCAAATCATCGTCTATATATTTTACCCGCACACCTTCCTGCCAATTGAAAGATTTTTGTCTTCATTGTATGCAAAAGTCGAAATCTGCTGAGTCATCCAGGTGCTTCACAATTAACTTAAAGCCATCAAAATACCAGAACAAGTTCATTTAAAGCAAGTGCCTTCCATAAAGAACTTTTATAAGTTAAAACAGATTATTTTTTACAAGACGTAAATACAATATATTGATTTTTATTTCCTATTTCTCTTACAAATAAACGAAGAAAGATGCCTGCCAGTCCAGCCGGCTGCATGCCTCTTATGTTTTCACTCAATTTTACTAACTCACACGAACTTCTTTAAACTTAACTTTCGGCAACATAATAACGGAACTCACACACTCAAAATGCTCATGAATTTGCACGATGGTGTTGACGCCAATGACTATCAAGATGATTCATTTATAAATCATTGCAGACTTCCATCAAGTCAACATGTAGGAATTTGAAATAACTATTCTATGAACTATAGAAACTAAATACCTGCATCTACAACAAAAAACTATTCCATCGAACCACGAACAACTGCACTTGATTGCCACGATTGAAAATAATCCTCGCAAGCTACAGCACGAAGTTAATAATTATAATATATTCACGCTATAAGACGACTCAAAAATAATTCTATGACGCCCATATCAACAAATAAGAATGTATATACGCTCGCTGTAGAGAAGCACTATTATATATATTATGCCTACAAATTAAAATTTATGGCAAATCTAAATGAGCAGTGAAAACACCGAATACTTCATTTTCTCAAAAAAAAAAAAAACATTTTTGTCGGAAGCGCAATATTATTTTTGATCGATCGGATTATGTGTATTATAAAAGATATCAATCTCATCCCCCTATTAATAAAATTAATGACATGATAGTTAGAAGAAATAAAATCTACAAAAAATATTCCTGTTGTACTAAATTATTTTTTGTCTGTGTATAAAGATAATAAAAGTATACTTCATAAACATATTCATACCATCATTCACGTCGCAGCCGAAAAAGATCAGTAACAATTTAATTGATGAATTCATGCGAAGAAAGAAATCAGAATTCACGGAACGTGGAAACAAAAAACGCATATTAAATGAAAGAGTAAGTTCTTAATTGGATAAATATAAAGAATTAAAGAGTTACCTCTTAATTCGATAATTATAAGAAATTGAAGAGTGATCTCTTAATTGAATAAATACTAGGAATTAAAAAGTAACCTCTTAATTGGATAAATACTAGGAATTAAAAAGTAAACTCTTTCTATGAAAAACTCTGCATGCTAGGAACTGGATCATCTTATCCAGAGACTAGTCGAGTTTTTTCAAATTAAAAAAAAAAGATTTCTGTACAGAAGTGAACTAAGACATTACCCTACAATGCAGCGTGCAGCAAAACGAGTGAGCAACAAGCAGAATCCCTCGGTCATATACAGTATTATTAGCGAACCTATCGGCAGTTATTTTGCGATTGCAAGGACAAACACAATCTAATTTCAATTAATCGCACTAATATTTCATTATTCGCACCGAGAAGATCGGATTCGTAGGAGAAATTCAAATCATTGACGTAGGAAATTCATTATGCCCAAAGAGGAATTTAGCTCAAAAAAGAAGTATATGAAACGTCTCAACGATGATTGATGTTTGTTTAAACCTGTGTTTTCACCCGATTTTACTTGCAATTGGTTGGTTTTGTGGAAATTATAATTTTAACTTTTTTTTTTAAATTATGATGCCAGAACTCTATATGCTAAAAAGATAATCATTATTCTAACAAGTTTAGGCGATGTTGACAGTGTTATACCGAAATTACTTCATTTAGGTGATTGAAGAGTGGAAGTTCGTTAACAAATAAAGCTGTCGATAGAAATGTGTAATAAATTTGGTGAAGCAGGTGATGAGTTTTTGAAATAAGCAAGTAAGCTCCTCACTAATGAAGTGCTCGAGAAGAATATTAAAATGTGCTTCTAATATTCTCAGTCTAAATGAGGCGGATAAATTTATACCGAAAAATTTATTCGTGATTAAATTTTCAACTAACTCTTTAGGAACCAATTTCTAAATGATTAAGTTTTCCAAAGAATATTGGACACAAAAACAATCCAGAAAAACGCTCGAAATCGTTTGTTATACTCTGACAGTAAACCATATATCATACACCTTCAGCCGAGATTTCAAACTGAGAGTGTAATTGTGATGGAAAATATTGTGCCAGATAATTAAATGTCCTACAGTTTTGTGTTGTTCATAGCGGCGGTCGACGAGAGCACATAATATAATTTCAATCGAACTGTACTTCATAAATGCGACTGCTATCAAACGCTGCATACCTTAAATGTGAATTCATGAAAGAGTTTACTGTCACCCACACTAAAATTAATAGCATAAAACCACATGACAGAACTTCGTTCCTCATGATGCATTTGCCGTACAATTAAGTGACAATATAAAAGCAGTTGCGAACGTCCTACGAAAACACTTCGACATTGCCGGACTCTACAGAAAATCTCAACAACTTGCAGTTTGTTCAAGCATTAAAATGAGTTAATGCAAATATGCACGGCAAAAAAAGAGAAATAATGTACCAATATGGACATCAAATGCTTACCGGAGAAGAAACAGGGCATACAAACTATTCATATCAAGAACAGTTCACAACTATAAGACGATACCCTATATAAGTACATAGACTATCTCGAGTCAACAATATATAGACTATTAAATAGTAATAACTGTAATGGGTTAGTTGGGTGTTAAACTTCATTATTTGCTATTTATACAATGGTTGGAGTTGCGTTAACAAAGGGGCCCGACCAAGTACAAAAGGGAGAAAGAGGCCGTACACGGTATGGCAAATTACAATACTTCCTCACAGCAGTAACAGTTTACGAAACAATGTATATACTTACGTATATATAGATTATGTACATTCTTTCATAAACATCACGAACAGCGTTCATTTTTAACCTTAAAGATTCAACAACAGGTGTATGCAAAGCATATTCAACGTTGTTCGATATTGTTCTACATCAAATTTAAGAACTCGTTAAATAGTTAACAAAAGAAAGATGCCGTTGAAATAATTACTCCGAAAGTAACGAACTGAAGAAGGATGTAAGCAATGTATTTAATTTCGGCTATTGTGATGCCCTTCGGGTACTTGTGCTAATATGGAAGGAGATTGAATACATTTGATGATGATTTTCTCATAAGCGTCGAAAATACCATAAGTTGAAGAGACTTGTTTGAAATTAAAATAAGTCTTCAGAACACCTGAGAAGTCAAAAGCAATCTCTAACAACTTCAATAACAATTAAAATATTATTAAAAATATTATTGACTGGAAAGCGGGGACACATTTAGCAAACACCGTCTTCACTGAGAGTCCAGGTGAGGTGAACAGAACATCTGCCCATATAGGATCTGCAAGTAACTTAATTAATTTTTTCAACATAATTCGGTCATAAACCTAAAATAATAAGACGTTTTTAGTAGCGTAACCAATTCAGTAGCATTCATCAGAAAGCCCTTAACGAACAAAGTAATTTTTTTCATTTCGAATTCTCGCAAAGCAAATTTATTTGGATTTTACGCAAAGGCAATATCGTATTTTTATGCTATTGAGCTGCCACTGAAAATGACCAAGTTACGTAAAATCTTCAGCTCCTGAGCGGACAGCTTGCGTCTATAGATAACTTGGCACGTAAACTAGACTACGGAAGCTTGAAATTATCAGCTTTACATTCGCCAGCTAGTGATCAAAATTCGAATCGCAGTAATGAATTTAATTAACCGTCGTTTAATTAATGAGCAAATGCTGCTGCATTATAGCAAGGTTCTACCAAAGCATCAAATGAAAAAAAAACAAGACTCCTAAAAATATGAAGCAGGGGAGTTCAAGACTTGTGTGCTCAGAAAGGATTATAACGAAATCTAAAGTGCATATTCTCAATAGCAGAATGAATTATGTTGACTACATCAAATGAAGAAGTTAGAAAAACGATTAAGACTTCAGAATTATGTTAAATGAATCCTGTTCATATATTTTGAAAGTGAGCCAGAACATTCAGAGCTTTGAATGCTCTTCAGAAGCCAGAATGAACATCGAATACCACGAAAGGGGTTCAAATTTACTATACATTGATAAGAGAAAATACAATGACGAGACTAGATAGCGATGATCAAACAACAAGCGAGTTCTGAGCCGCAAATGGAATCCGAATTAAGCCCCAGTTGGGATATTTTTCTTTCATTTCGATACTAACGACTGCAGGTTAATCTGGGTTGGAAATTTAACAGAATTCAATGTGACTCGAAAAATGTGGCCTACAACTGGCTTCACTATGATTATTAGGCCAAGAATTGTGACGTTAACTAAACGAGTGGAAACGAAATAAAGAAAAGTAGAAATTTCGTTACTATCTTATAAAAAAATATTTGTTATAGTTAATTTTTTTTACCAACGAGTTAGTTAGTAAGAAAGGATGCAGTAATAGGAGCTCATGTTCACATTTCTACTCTGATACTTTAATAGCTTCAGCAATATTGAGCTAATTTTGGCCGGGAAGATGGAACGTCGAGCAAAAAGCAAACCTGGTTAACAAACGTTGACTTGTATATCATCATGTAATACGCGCTGATTTATTTGATGCAAAAAAAGAAATAACGTTACGAGAGCGCTTCGATAGTAGAAAGGCCATGAAAGTAAAATCTTGACAAAGAAGTAATCAAGCTTGACGCAATAGCCATTCATGAAGATGAATCAATTGCTACATAGCGATGCAATGCTGTTAAATAGCCTATGAAGCTCGCTACCCTAGCCTAAATAGCCTCTGTATCTACCCATAAGATCTGCATAAAGTACAGCCTATATGTACATATAGGGCAAATTCTTTGCTCTTCTGACCCCATCACATGTTTCCATCTAGGGTGCAGCGATAGCTATTTCAACAAGGTAAGTACCACGTAATCATTTCGTAATCATTTCACTTTTAAACGAACACTCACTGAGACGTAGCAGGCTATCGTACGTCTGGAAATGCATCAGAGGAAATTGTGCGCTGATGAAACATCGATTCCTACATCTCGATTTTTATCATGAAGTTGACTAAAAGGAGTGTTGCCCTAATTTCACTGAAAATCGTTTTAATTTTAGAAAATTGTGGTCCTAATTGAAGTGAACTCTATAAATTTATTGCATTTTTTAGTGGACAGATTGGATGAATGATTAATGAAGACTTATCTTCCAAAGCATGAACATGAGGTTGCTCGCCATCTTGCTGCGCTGGCTAGTCTAGTCCGCTGTAAGCTTTTCCCGTGAGGGCCTTAGAGGCAGCCAACGCATCATATACCCTTCCATTATTGCTTCAGAAATGTGAGTCAATATTGTAATTATTGAATTGTTGGCACTAATTTATTCAAGCATCATAGACTATTTATTGATTTTCAATCACAAGAAACCACCGTACATCTAAGAATAGTTTCATTCCAGTGACTACGCGAAGTATGGTGACGCATGATTGGTTGAGACACGATGACGTCATAACAGATCTCTCTTCTTATTGGTGTTGGCCGTCTAGAGCAGCTAGGTATTTGGCTTCAATGAAGCGCGGCACAATCTTGTGTCTGAAAGACAATAACGGATTAGGACTTGATTATTTTTATTATTTAAACATAATATTCATTGCGGACAACCAAGAGACGTGTTTAGAACATATAATGTATTCGTGTCATGAAAATTTTTTATGACAAAACGAACTCCGTAATTATTTTTACAACTAATGAAGATAATATTCCAAATTAACTCCAATAGTCTCGAATCGTAAGAAATTCATGCGCTGAAAACGCCCTTCTATACCAACTCAGCAACAAATTTCATAGGTTTATCAGTCAAAATATTTCTCAAATGAGATATTTGCCTGAAATCTGCTGCTAAACATTTCATTGGGGCGATTTGCAACGAATATTTTATTTACTATGTATCCAGAGCTATAAAATACGGCTGGAATCGAGCTGCGCGTGGTTCGATAGTTAGCCCCTACCGGGCGTAACGAGTAGCATTCTTACAGCTGGCATTACTGGTGATTGGTGAAGTACTTTCGCTACACGTTTTCTAATAACCTTCAACAGTCTTCTCGACCATATTATCAGTAACATGACCCCCACGAAATATAGATCGAATACAATAAGCGGTTGAAGTTTCTCTACTTTGGATATGTAACATTAAAAAAAAATTACAGAAATACGTATATTGAACTTCGTAGTAATCTTTAATTGAGAATCTAACTGATCGCACAGTTATCTAATATTCGTACAGAGTTATGCTGAACCATCTTTGTGATTGAATCGTATTGGAGTCAGAACAGGAGAGCAGGGCTGATGGTGATTAACTATCGTTTGAGTCGACAATTCTACGTTTCAAAACCGTTTTCGATCGAACGTAGTAACTGTCAATCTCTCACGCAAAATAACAGCTGCGCAATTGAGAGAAAAACTATCTTAAAATATCTTTCATTGTACTAACACAGCCTTGTGTTGGTATCGAGATGCTAGTAACAGAGTATAAACTTTAGAAACCACCACCGCGAAAACCAAAATGGAGAACTACGTTTCACCTAACCAAGATCAAATACACACAACGGGATTTTTTCATTTAAGACCAAACTTTGAACAGAGCAGGTTCACAACAAGATAAATTATTGATTGCCGTGATAAAGATAAATTTTAATCGCATTTGAATATTCAAGTCACCTGACAGGCAGTAGAAGCAGCAGAAGCACGGGGAACATCATCTTCATGTAGGCGTATGGGGCAAACCCGAATGAGCACATCACGAGCAGCTGTATGACTTGCAGGCCTGTGAACTTGTGGATGTTGCGCTGCGGCACTCTTCTGATGTAGTGGTTTGGGGGGTATGCCGCCTGCAAAAACATATAATGTCAACTCAATTTGTAGGAAAAATTACACATGAAGTGATTAGGGAGGTATGCTACCTGCAAACAAATGTAATATCAACAAAGTTTGTGAGGAGAATCACTCATGAAGTGGTCAGGCGGGTATGCCGCCTAAATACACATTTATTGTCAACTTCATTTGTGGGGAGAATCAGTCATGAAGTGGGGCAGGTGGGTATGCCTTCCGGTAAACACGTGCAATTTGTCATGAAGTGGGTAGGTGATATGACGAATGTCATATCACCAAGTGGGTTGGTGACTCGTAATGTTAACACTATATATATGGAACGAGATACATGTTGTGGTAGCGTGAAATGTCTGCTGAAAACATGAGTAATGTTAACATCATGTGCTGGTTGTATGACTGATGCAGCGGATGGAGGGTATGCATTCTGTGAACACTAATTGCTGATCGTGTGACAGATTTAAAGGTGGGGTGGCGGTGCAGCCCGAACTTCGCATGCAATGTTGCTACTTTTTGTTGGCAATAAGACTGATGCATTTGTTTGGAAACATCGTACTTCACACTATAAGATATCCATAAGCTTGTGAGGAATTCAGTTTTGAGAGGGTGATGTGTTTCGTACAATATAGAGCTGGACGCCAATAAAAGATTTTCGTAATTATGTTTAAGAAATGAGGCAAGTTCGGCTACCACTTGTTGAGACATTAGTTTGTGGGTATGAATGGGGACTTCCCGATGACGAATTGATTCCATGATAGTCTGTATATGAGATAAAAGAGTATGTATGATAGAACAATATAAACAACATACTAATATCAAATCGATGATTCTATGTACAGTATGAAACATCAGGCATAGAATGAATAGATTTTAATGATGACTTCATCACAATAATTGACATGAATTCGATATGATTGATAATCAGAAAACCTGTTCCATGAAGAGCAGGGTTATCCTCTCAAACATCTGGTTGCCGTTGAGGGCCGTGACCGCCATATAAAGGAAGAGGCCGTCCAGCACAGCCGTCGGGATGTAGGCGAGCGGGTAGGGCAACATGAACATCGACAGTCCGATCAAGATATTCGATAGCAAGCCCGTCACTCTGGTCTCGCGCACCTTCACGATGCTGGCAACGGTAAAGACAAGATAATTGAACATGCTGTCAGTTGGCGGCCGGAGCAGAGGCACTTAATTACTACGTGAAATGACATCGATTGGAGAAAAATCGAAGTGCAGAAATCTAATGGCGTGGTAGGCATGCAGAGAATTGAAAATTAAAATAAGGAGTATAGACATAGTTAACAGAGACATTACAGCGTGGCATTGTATATCAAATGACATTGTAGCGTTAATGATGTCATATTTAAGTTAATACTTGAACAAAAGAAATTGATTAATCATTTGTCTAAAATGTGGTCTTTTCGGAGTGATGCAATTACGAATAGTGATATAATGGAAATCCTGGTGCTAAGTTCCACTCTCCTGCCGATGATGCAAGATCTCGCAGACGTGTTCCCGCTGCTACTCACATCTCGTAGACGTGTTCCCGCTGCTACTCACATCTCGTAGACGTGTCCCCGCTGCTACTCACATCTATCACATCTCGTAGACGTGTTCCCGCTGCTACTCACATCTCGTAGACGTGTTCCCGCCGCTACTCACATCTCGTAGACGTGTTCCAGCTGCTACTCACATCTCGTAGACGTGTCCCTGGTCGACCCTCTCCTCCACGTCTGCCAAGGACCTGACGTGTAGCGGGGAGTGCGGAAGACACGCGTGCATCCATGGCAGGCCGAAGAGGCTCAGGAAGCCGTTCATTATGCCCACGACGAGCATGTCCAGGTGGTATGCCGGACCCTTCTTCAGCCTGGAGGAGGTGAGGCAGTTGCCAGCATTAGTGGTGGTACAGATCGAGGGATAGCGTGTGAAGTAATTCCAGGTAACTGGAATCTTTGTTGTGGTAACTGGGACTGTCTAACAGGGAATTTTTAACGTGGAAGGTAGAGGTAAATGAGATAATGGTTTGGGTAACTTTGGTCCTGTCCAACAGGCACTTTTTGATGGGGGAAGTATTAATGGTAAATGAGATGATGGTTTTAGTAGCTTAAAGACCGCTCAACTTGGAATGTTTAATGTAATTGTTTATTAGGACCCATCAATTTATTCGCTTGATGGGCGTACTTAGATTTAATTATGGCAGGAGTATTACCAGAAGCAAAGACCACCTGATTTTCTTGTATTGAAATTTGTTGATTTTGGTCAAGGGGCAAGGTTGAAAATACCCACTGGCTCATCGGCTGAAGTAGCATATTTCTTGAACCAAACACAATTAAACCAGCGTATACATCGCTCATACCTCATTTTCTTTAGCCCAAGTTGCGCGATTGATAGAAAGAAGCAATCTCGCCACTAAGATCAAATCTTAAGTTAGTTGAGATTTTGCGCTTGAAAATCGTGTCGTACGATTAAACAGTTGGGTTACATATAAAATTATATATATATAAATATAATTGTATAATAATTAAGCTCACTTATTGCAGGGGTTGTTGACCATGGCAGAGCCGATGTTCTGGTCCATGAAGAAGAGCATCGACAAGCAGAAGCCGAGACCAAACGTCGCCAGGATCGCAGTGAAGCTCAGCAGGTAGAGTTTCGGTGGTGCGAACACTCCGTACGAGTCGTCGTAGCGAAAATGCTCCACTGCATTAAAAAAACAATAGTTTTAGACGAGTTAGACTGGGTATTGCGTGTATGCAAGCCTCGTTCAAATATTTTAGGCTTCAATGACTTACAACGATAGCACCGAGAAACTTTGAAATTGATTATGTAATATCGGCGCAGAGAAAATCGTTAAAACTGAGTGTAGAACTTGGTTTGGTAGTACACGAGAGTTCATTATAGAACCACAAAAAACACCACCATTAAAGGCATGAGAGCTCAGTTAAAGTTATTTTTAAATTAAATTGCCTTTGACTAAATAGATGGAGTATCTTCAACCAAAACAACCAAGTGAAATATTGAATAATAAAAAATAAAAATATATTGTTAATAAAGCTGTGCAAGTAATGAGCAATTGAACAAACAAATATAGGGTCACTTGAATATGTAAAATTTTACAGTCAAATAAGCAAATAAAGCAGTTGCAAGCAGTTGAAAAGATATAAAAAAATTCAGAACTAAAATGTTCTCAAATGTTCAGAAATTAATCAAATTGCGAATGACAAACAAAATGACATTGTTGTGGAAAATTAATCTTCAACATTTATTGAATACTACTATTCGATAAAATAATTGAATTTAACTTTAATACTTTTACGCTTAACGAAAGCTAAGTTGAAAAAGTTCGACTAGATTTTATCACTAAATAAGTTGTTCCTATGAATGTTACAATAAAGAATTTATCCGATGCCATTTTATAATAAAATGCGACAAAATTTGAGTAATAGATAAGTCTAGAATTTAACTAAGAAATGTTGATCTGGCTTCACATTAAATAAATACCATAAAAATGAACATATCAATCTGTAAAGCTTCTCCTCTATGTTTGAGGAGATTGTAGCGGCATACCACTTTCGGCATGCAAGATTCCATCAGCCGCGGAACGCTTATTAAGCGGTGATTTAAACACGGCAGAAGATAGATCAGTCGTACGCCATCTGTTAGATCAGTCGCAGGTCATCTGATAGATCAGTCGCAGGTCATCTATTAGATCAGTCGCAGGTCATCTGTTAGATCAGTCGCAGGTCATCTGTTAGATCAGTCGCAGGCCATCTGTTAGATTAGTCGCAGGCCATCTGTTAGATTAGTCGCAGGTCATCTGATAGATAATTTACCAAGCAGGTCGCTGCGACAATTCTACACACGTACTCTTGCTCTCAACTGAAAAAGAAAGAAAACCAAAACCAAATAAACAACATTATTTCACATTGAAATCGCGCCATCTTGACGAGTAGGCGAGTAAAACAACACTCAGTTACTATGGTAAATAATAGTACGGGGTATAATAAAATGATAAAATAATAGCAAGTAATTTTCATGCGCTCTAAAATTGAATGAAATTATTTTTCAAACAAGGCATTTAGATTAGGTATAAAAATTGCGCATGTTGTGCACAATGTGTATTTGTGCCCGTTGTGCACAAATACACAATTTTAGCGCAGAAAACTTTTTAAGGAAGAGAGGTTTTGTTAAAAAAAACTATAAAAACGGCATATATATAAAAGATGGTGCTTACACAAGTAATTTCTCATGATAAGCATTCTGAAAAATTAGTGAAAAAATATTGACCCAGTTGGATACAAGCAAGCCAAAATAAGGAATGTAAAAAATCACATCTACTCTACAATAAAAAAAATTTCTAAACAACTGATTTACATGCCTGCCTGGAATGGTGGAGGCTGGTAAGGCATTAATAAATCTTTCTAGTAATACGAGCTTTTTTAGAGCTGTTGAGGGCATAATGTCGTGTTGAAGGCACAATGTCGTGTTGAAGGCACAATGTCATATTGAAGGCATAATATTATATTGAAGACACAACATTAAGTTGAAGGCACAATGTCGTGTTGAAGGCACAATATTGTATTGAAGGCACAATATTGTATTGAAGGCACAATGTCATGTTGAAGCCACCATATCGTGTTGAAGGCACTGCGCGGCACTCACGCTTGATGTCCCTGAAGACGAAGGAGCCGATGAAGGACAGCACGATGACTGCCACGGGCAGGGCGTAGTCTGCCAGTAGTTCTCTCTTGTTCGCATTCAGGTACGGCCTGAACATAGTAACTTTTGTTTAACATCAAACAAAATATTCTTAGTTTCAAATAAGCATTCACTCAACTTTATTGAAAACCGTTTAACATCAAACAAAATATTCTTAGTTTCATATAAGCACTCACTCAAACTTATTGAAAACCGTTTAACATCAAACAAAATATTCTTAGTTTCATATAAGCATGCACTCAACCTTATTGAAAACCGATGAGGAACTCCAAATATTGTAGACTGTTGATAATAAAGTAGCGACGTTATGCTTTGAGACAAGGAAAAGACGCCAGTGTAATCAAGCGCGAGTAGCTAATGACTATTATTTTACCATCAAGACCTCATAGAAAAATTCCTCCGTGGTTTAGCAAACTTTCATGATGACATATTTCCAGATTTTTTCCAGTATTCAGAGTCTGAAGTACTCTTATGAGTAGCAAACAGATCAAATGTTATGAGTTGCCTAATAAAGTGACAGCATGTTATTATTATTAGATAGCAAGAGAAACGAAACTCCAAAGAAATATTCAATATGATAGTTATTCTTTTAAATCAAATCAAAATAAGATGAATATTTAATAATATATTCGCCTTAAATCGAATATATATGTAATATAATCACCTTAAATCGAATATATATAATAATATATTCACCTTAAATCGAATATATATAATAATATATTCACCTTAAATCGTATATAGGATAATATAGGCCTACTCTAGGTACAAGTTAAGATAGAGGATGAGTTGAACTGACGTCTTGTTGAAGTTGTAGAGCATGAGAGAGAGCCAGAGCGTGCCGAACATGAGCAGCAGATACAGGACGGAGTTCTCACGCTTGCACTGCGCCGCCACGGTCGCTACCACCAGTTGTGTCGTGTCGTTCAGGAAGCTTACGTTCGCGTAACTAAAACAAAAATATCATCTCATCCAATAAATGGCTTAATTTATTGTGATTATTAATAAGTTAATAAGTGATTATTAAGTTTAATAGTAAGTGATTATTAAGTTATTTAATATGATATTATGTGTTTTGGGTTCTATCTGATCCACGACGGTCGCCACCACCACTTGTGTTGTTTCGTTCAGGAAGGTTACGTTCGCGTTACCAAAACAAAAACATCATCTCATTCAATAAATGGCATTACTTAAGTTATTGCCACTTGAGTCTTGACGTTTAGGTAGGTTAAGTTCCAGTAAATAAAGGAAAACATCATCTTATTATTCAATACAACCGGGAAGACACCTTAAAATTTAAGCATATACCTGAAACCTAATCATAGCGCCTGTTTCATAACTACCCGTCTCTTCCATTTCTCCTTCCTCTTTTTGGCCACTCAGTGCTACCTATTTTATCTTCCCTTTATATCTTAGCGGCAACGCACGCATGCACACACTCACAATTATAATGGCTTAAATAGACTGTACATATAGTTTCCCGCCTTCGCTCACCTTTCGTTTCCACCGAAGACGTTATAGTAGCTGTAGTTGCCGTTACCAACGGCGTCATTCACCACAATGGGCGTTAGACTAGCGAAGACTGTGCTGGAGAGGGAGGTGGTGGCGTTAGAAAGCAGCGTTGAGGCGTTAGAAAAAAGTTCAGATGCCGTGGAGGCGGTGGTGGTTGCCAACGCTTCAGCGGACGCTGCGGCCTCCAACGCTCTCCTCTCTAACGCTTCTTGTTTGCACGAGTCGCTGTAGTAGTTCACGCGGAAGTCTGCAAAGTGTATGCAGATTTGAACATTATATTCACCACGAAAATGTTCACTGGTCCTGGCTATAGAGAAAGCTTTCAATGAAAACTGGCTGATGCCTTTTTAACGAGACTTTTTCGAGTTGATAAGTTAAAGGGATGTACTGACATGACTTACTTATTCGTACAAGAATTAATAAATTTTATTTCGGTTGGAAAATTATTTATATTGAAGTACTCAAGAAGCGCATTAATGCTCGCTACTCAAGAATTTAGAAGCTAATACAACACAAAAAATTCAAAAATATTCTCATTATATTTTCTTCCGCTATCAATGAATTTATGTCTGTATTTCTGGCCATTTACTTTGATTAAAAATTTTGATTAATTCGACCATTAAAAAATTAAATGATTTTCGTTAGCAGCTGGTACACGAAGGAAATTTTGGAGGGGAGCATCTGCAGTCTAATCGATGTAGATTATATTTTGATAATAAATAGCAATCCCTAATAGGAATACTCAGATATTTAAAAAGTGATACAAAATGCAAATCTCAGTAAATAGTGTAATCATAATAAAGTTTGACTAAATAATAATAATAAACTCTCTTTAATAAGTTAAAAAATTTGTTAAAAAAAATCGGAACCGAGTTGTAGTAGATTATTTTTAGGAGAAATCGAAGGAAGTAAATTGAATTTAGATTCTTGTGCGCACAAGATTTAAAATAAAATTTGCGACTTGACTGTTTGACTAAAAAGTATCAATCTCGGAAATTGTCTTATTTTTGGGCGAGCTTCGAGTCAACGAGCGCTTTAGTCCATAAATTTCCAGCAAATAATTTTTAATTGCGCGACAATAATAATTTACGGCGGTAATAATAATAATAACAATTGTAATATTTTGTGATGGCGCAATAATTTCAGCCAAATGTCCATTTTTATGACCCACCAAAATAAGGAAAGATTCGTTGTTCATGGTCACTGTTAACCTGTTCAACAATTTCAATTCAAGAAGTCTATGACATTTACCGACCATGGAATTAAGTAAAAATATCAGCATTTCCCGGCGAGATTTTTCTCGAGGAGCGTTCAATAAACCGAGCTTTCTAATGGGAGTTCGAGGCGTTCGGTGCGATACGAGTCTGGAATTCCCAACCGGAAGAGATTATCGTTTCGTTCGTTCAATTCTAAAATCATGGTCGTATTATCGATGGCCGACAGCCGGCCGTTGATAATTAATTGGAGATTTCCTAATTTTGACGAAGGCTAAGTCTCGACGACCTCTCAACGCAGAACTTAAATGAGCTGGATTATAAGGATACGAATCATGCTCTCCAGGAATCGAAGAGAAATCCGGCGCTTATATCCTGCATGGATCAAATCCTTCCCCCATCGATCACGCAGGATTGTGATTGAGCAAAGAGACCGAGACCGTATGCAGGGCAGCCGTGCCCCGTGTGCAGGGCAGCCATGCTCCGTGTGCAGGGCAGCCATGCCCCGTGTGCAGGGCAGCCATGCTCCGTGTGCAGGGCAGCCATGCCCCGTGTGCAGGGCAGCCATGCCCCGTGTGCAGGGCAGCCATGCCCCGTGTGCAGGGAGCCATGCCCCGTGTGCAGGGCAGCCGTGCCCCGTGTGCAGGGCAGCCATGCCCCGTGTGCAGGGCAGCCATGCTCCGTGTGCAGGGCAGCCATGCCCCGTGTGCAGGGAGCCATGCCCCGTGTGCAGGGCAGCCGTGCCCCGTGTGCAGGGCAGCCGTGCCCCGTGTGCAGGGCAGCCATGCCCAGCTAGGGGCCCCTAAAGCTGCCCTGGCTGTCGGGACTTGGAGCGGGCGCGTGCTTGGATCATCGATCTCAGGCCGAGGATTTGGTTGCAATGCGGCCGTATTATCGGGCCGGAAATAAGAATTATCTGCGCATCCTTGCACGTGCGCGGCTTCTTCGCTTGCCGCTTGCTTCGCTGCTGCCGAAATTTGGCCTCACCAAACCCAAGATTGATGGGGCGCATATTGTGTCAGCCAGGAAGGCGATGCCGTGCTTATATCTATTCCACTTCGCGGTTGGGAACTTCAAAGAACGACAATTTGAATTTTTAAAGAATATTTCTGAGCATTATGAATATGGCGTAGTATTTAGTTTAATAAAGTACGCAAATTAGCGAAAATTATTAAAAATATTTATTTCGTAAACTGAATTAGATATAAAGTGCGACTATCACCGATATGCCATTTAGGCACGACTACTTAGCTGGGCCAACTTTGATAGGCGGATTTCTGCATTATATGAGGAACTTTTGTTGATGGTGGCTCCATTAATCTAAGTCATCGAAAAAATCGTTCTTTGATGTTGCTCCAAAAGAACTTTCAGATTATTTCAAGCGTGGCTTCGGACTTACTGACAATTAAATCTGAAATGCTCTGGACGAGCGACAGCGCTGGGTGCAGCAGCGGTATGAGACGCAATATCGGCACTCGTAGCGTGAGCCGAGCTATCCATTTACTGTGTGTTTGTGACCAGCAAATAAAGAGACTTCCCAGCCCAAGCTCTTATATTGTGGGTTGCAGGAACACCAAAGAAACCCTTACTGTTGCAGGAGCAGCAGAGGTATCGTTTTTCTGTTACCCAATACATATCTTCGGACTTAAAAACTGAGTAGTAAAAACCCCAAACAGACCTGTGCTGTTGCAGCAGCTGCAGAAGTGGTGTCCGGTTACCCGTAAGGTGTTTAAAAATCTGAGTTGCAGGAAAACAAAATACTGTTGCAGCAGCTAAAGTGGTGTTGTATTTTTACCCGAAGAACTTGAATTTTTTTTTGTGCACGAGCGCCACTACAAGACTGGACTGCAAGCAGGAACCGCCTGAAATACGACTCGAGCGGGTCTTTTGGAGATGCAATGTCCTTCCCAAATTCGAACCAAACCTTTTATTTACAAACCAAGTGATGGGTTAGGAGAAATGCTGTGAGAAACATTGTGTAAACTCAAACTTTTATTATTCAACTAAGATTGAGCATTTTCTCCCTAATTTTAGAGTAAACGGTGTGGAGTCAACAAGCTGTATCAGAAGAGGAAGTGGGATTGCAGGAATATAGACCAGAATTACCAGAATAGGGAGCAGCATCACCGTAATAAAGACCAGCAGCATCAGAATTAGGAATCGAAGTACAGGAATAAAAACAAACAGCATCAGAATGAGGAATAGCAGCACAGGAATGAAGATGTTTGAATTAGGATTATGTAGTGGCATTACTTGTGTCTATATATATTTGGCGGTAATTTTTTAGCATAGACCGCGAATTGGCCGTATTTTTCCTTTATCTAGTTTGCAAATTCTATAACTACTTACCTTCGCCTGAAATTGATTCAGGCGTTCAATGACATGCCCAAGACTGTTTTAATGCAAAATTGATGCAATTTTTATTTTATTAAAAAAGCGTTCTCATTTATTGATGTTCAAACAAGTAAGAGAAGCAATGCGCTTCAACGCGACCGTTTTTTCAACGAGTCTATACTCCCAGCCGATTTAATTTGTTAGAGGCTTAGCCAGGAATGTAGAAACTTGAGAGCAAAATTGAGATTAGTTCAAGATGGTTCAAAGATATCATGCCCCAACTATAATTTTCAGTGAACTTTTATTCAATTGTGAAATCAATTTATTACAGCAATCGGAATGGCGCACTATTGAATGCTCTTGAGCAGTTTTACGAGTTTTAATTGACGACACGACTGTGGAATATTATGATCCAGTTTTGTGAGATATTCTCATTATTTATTAGTGATATTTGCTCACGATATCGCCATTCAAATCTATCAGGGGTTTAAATTTGATTCATTAAAGAAATAATTACTGAAATGAGCACCAACGTAATTCATCTCGAGGCTCCAGGGGAAGGACATAATTAAATAGTTGTAGAAATTCATTGATATTTTTAATTAGAACCGAGACAATACCAAGATAATAAGTAGTTATGAAGGCACGCTGGCCTGGAAATTTATATTTTTGATGAGAGCGTAGGAAATTATAAGAAAAAAGTAAAATTCAGGCTGTTTCAAAATTTTTAGACCTGACAACGGACCCGGATTAATTGTTGATAAAAACAAGTGAAATTTTTTGGTTATTTAGAGTTCATTTATGCTTCATTTTCTTCTGAACTTTTTACAGTACGTAGCGTGTTTCCTCTTCTGAAGCTTTTGAGTGCTTTAATGAAGTAATCTATTTGATGCATGAGTAATTATGCCTTTCATTGTCTGTTTAGAATCAACACTCTAAATTTTCTTCGGGTTCATTGCGAGAAGCTACTGCGGCGGTGAAAGACCAATATAATTTTCAATTCACATCCTACAAATTTATTACTGTACCTTAAGTATAATTCAAGCTAAAAAAAAATTGTAGGAGATAGATATATTATTTGGAAACTTGAAGCATTGAACTGGAAGACAAATATTCGTATCGCCATTCAGATTTTTGAACTATAACATTATAACCGAAGACTCCAATAATATATACAATTTATTTTTGCCTGTAACAGTTGAGAGTCATGGGCGAATTATGAGTGGCCAGCGAATATATGACAGGTGGCCGTTAAGATTCGGCATCAATTTCATGCAGGGAACAACATCACAAGAGGAAGCTAAGTTAACATTATGGGCGATGACGGCTTAATTGTACAACATCGTGAGAGCTTCTGGCCACTCCGACGGTAATGAAGCCCAATTATGAAGATGGAAAGTCGAATGCTGCTGAAGAGCGTCTATAATTTCAGCTTCTGATGTTTCAGTTGAGAAGATTGCCGGTACCGGCGTTAGGTTGGCTGGTCTTTAGTGTATACGTATTGTTGTTAAAGCCGGTATATTATATGTTAGCATTACGCTATAGCGGAAACGGACGGATACAATACAAAGTTGCGCGCGTTTAACTGAATGAAATTGTACGATCGTGCAAGACCGATTTTACACCATACTGCTGGACATTTGTCAGGCATATAACAGTCATGGTCAAGTCCAATATTCTTCAATGCATTTCTATAGAA